GGTCAGTCTCCTTAGTAAAGAAATCAATGGATACCTTTGTAAGGAAATACATATGTGAGGATTGGATTCCAATAAAAAAGAAAGTTGATAAGGTTACATTATACATGAGCAAGAAATTACTGTATTTATAGTTCTAAAATAATATTTTTATTCTGTTCTCAATTATATTTATAATTTTAGACATATATTTTATTATTAATTTTATTTTATTAATATTTTTATTTTTATTTTTGTTTTTGTTTTTATTTTTATTTTTGTATTAGTTTTTGTTTTGTTTTTATTTTAATTTTTATGTTTATTATAGTTTATAGTATGTTATTTTGGTTTGCTTTTTGATTACTTTTATTCTTAATTCTATTGGTAATATAATATCTAATGTTTGATCGGACTGGCCTGGAGCTGGAAGTATCATTCATAGAATATTTGTGATTATTATGTAATCCAAATATATTCTAATAAAATGGTACATGATTCAACATTTAAAAAAAAAAAAAGAAAGAAAGAAATGTAACATTATCTATATTAATAGCATTCATCTGAACCTAAAGCAATTAAAGCTTGCTAAAGATCTGTATGCTATTCAAGTAATAGATATTCTATTTTTTATCAAAAAAAGTAGATATTGTTGCAAGGGTTGATTTATCTTTAGTGTAATCATTAAAGCAGTACTTTTTTATTAAAACTGATTATAATGAGATCGCAAGTTTAATTCTACTAATTATAGAAATTAAAAAGAATTTTACTGCAAATATTACCAATAGCATAAAAATACAGATTGAACTGCATTATTATAATAAATTAGTATGTATAATTAAATTATATATTTTAATAAAAAGTTATATCATTATGATATTTTTCTAATATTTCTTAAAAGATCATTAGAAGTTTTAGAATTTATTCTTAAAGTTACTGCTTGCATATCTTAAAAAAATGGTTTTGTTTTAATAATCACTTTACAATATCACTAAAGATATAGTATACTTTACTAAAGGGATATAATATGCTAGATAGTCTGTTTAGATGGTAAAATCAAAAATGTAATGTCTTTGTAATAATAAACCTTTTAAAATAGATTATAAACTGATCATAATATTTCTGAGATGCCAGTTATATTAGATAAAAACTGGATTCAATTTCTGATTAGAATAGATACTTTACTAATTTTTACTTTACTTTTTCTTAAATTCTATTGGTTAATTAGCTAAAAAGAAAAAAATTATAATAATGTAACATAAAATTTCTTTTTATAATAAGATCTGCAAAGAATTTTATATATGATTTTTACCCTAGGTCTAGAGGTGATCTATTTTAGAAATAGAAATTATTGAAAATATTAAATACCAATCAATAGTTGTAGAATATGACAATCATAACATTAAACACCAATCAATGAATGTGTAAGTGTAACCAAAATCTTTAACAAAGAAATCCCCTAAAAAGAGTGGTACAAAATCAAATATCAAAGTTACACTCTATATTCCAAAAGAAAAAGAATAAACTGTTATTTTTGCAAAAATAGCCTTTAGGAATTTAGATGTAAACAGCAATTGTGATATATTTCTGACTTCATCTGGTAATAGACAAAAAAATAACATGACCAAGTATACAGTGTCTGACTATCTGATAGCAAAGTTCAACTGGTTAAAAAGAAATAACAGTATGCTTCACTAAAGCAAATACAATTAGTTATAACTGAATATACTTTAGTATTGCAGGATAATGTTCATGTAATAACTTTATATGATGTCTCCTCTATCTGGATTCAACTTGATATTCTTATATATCTTGAAAAATGGGTCATGTGATTAAGGTTGCTTGTCTAAACCTCTTCAAAATCCTACGATTAGTTTTGTTAAAATTTTACTATAAATTTATTATAGTTTCAGCAGAGTTTTGGCAGTTTCGGTATTTATAATAAGTTTCAGCAGTTTCGCCTTTCTCCAAAGTTTCGCCAATTTTTTAATATAATTTTAATATAGTTTTGGCAGAATTTTGCTTTTCGGCAAAATGCCATCTTGTCTAAACCCCTAGGTTTTGGCAAGCAACCTTACATGTGATTACTTTTAAGACAAAAAGTCAGAAAAAATATTTAGTGCTCTGAAACAAGTTGAGTTAACTTACAAGTTGATTGAGTTGAATCAAGTTGAATTAAGTCAAATTGAAAATTACAATTAAATCAAATTGAGTCAAGTCGAGTTAATTATTTAATAAATTGAGTGTCGAATCAAGTCAAATTAGATATAATTCTGGCCAAAATTATGAAATTTCCTTTTTTAGAAGTTATATTATACAAATTTGAAACGAAAAATTTTTGAATTTACAAAAATGGAATTTTGTGGAATGGTTATCACCAAAAAAGGAAATAAATCGAAAAGTAAATCATATAATTTAATTTGACTTGACTTGATTTGGTTTGACTGGTCAATTCGACCTGAATTAAGTCAAGTTTATATTTTTTATAATTTTAACTTGACTTGATTCAACTCGATTTAACATGAGTTGAGTCAAGTTTACATATAACTTGACTTGACTTGACTCATTCAAAGTACTAGAAATATTCAACAATCACTATTTTATTGACTTTAACAAGTGGACTATGAGCTTATAGAATCTAGAAGGTTTACCTATCTAATGATATCCAGCTAACTGGAATTTTTAATAAAGAAAGGAATACTAAGAATGATTTTAGGTAGTGGTTAAAGATTTATCTGGAACTATAATCACTTTGATATTTTATCTTTTGGACCTTTCCTAATTACTGCTATTCTATTTGAGATACAAGACTTTTAAGATAGTACTGTATGTGACAGCATAAGACATCTACTTTTTATTTGAGCAGCCCAATTTTATTTCTTATATGATATATCATATGACCATTAAGGTTGCTGGAGAAACTAGGGGGTTTTGGCAAGTTAGCGAAATGCCGAAATAGCAAAACTTTGCTAAAACTATATGAAAATCTTATTAAAAAGTTGGCGAAACTCTGGAGAAAGATGAAACCTGACGAAACTTATTATAAATGCTGAAACTGCCAAAACTTTGCCAAAACTATAATAAAACTATAGTAAAATCTTGAAGAAACTAATTGTAGAATTTTGGAGAGGTTTAAGCAGGTAACCTTAGTGACCATAATAAATCACATGATTTTATATTTTAAATTAATCAAAATTAAGCATCAATCATATAAAAAATCAATATTTGTTAAAATCAAATTAAGTATTGTTCTATATGACTTAAATTTTTTTACAGCATATTTAGCTTGTTTAGCATCCAAACCTTTTCTATAACAATCCATATATCATGCAGACTTTCTAGCATATTTTCTAATATGATTAATAAGAACTGAATCTAATGCAAGTGGAACAACTCTTTGTAATCCTGTCCAACTATAGTCACATTGCTGATGAGCATACCATTTTGCTGCTCCCCAATACATTTCAATATAATTAAGTTTACAATAGAACTTTGGATAAAATATAACCTTATGACCTTTTGCTTCAATAATTTCTTGAATTAAAAGTTTAATATCAAAAAAATCAGGTTGATTTGAAAGAATATGTCTTGCACAACATTGAGAATTAACATTATATTCATTATTACCACAATATGCTTTTAACCCTGTTGATAGCCATAAACCTCTTTTTTCTAAAATAATTTTCATTCCTTTAGGTTTTCTGCGTAAATTTTTATCATGATAATTATCTGGAAAATTCATATGTTGAATTTGTCCATTAAAAATTGTATCACGTAATTTAGCCTGTTTTTCACCTGGATTCAAATTCATATGATTTGCATTTAATTCATTATCAGCATATTTTCCATGACTTGAAGAATTATCAAAGGCAAATACAGCAATTGCACCTGGATAAGTTTTTTCAAAAATAGGTATAGCCTGATTTACTATTTAAATAATTACAAATATCAATGCCAATTACTAATATTTTTCAAATATTTTTTAATTTATATATTTACCTGCTCAAGCAACTTATCTATATTATTCCACTATCCATCAAAGTTTTTACCTGGATTAATCATTACACGTGCTTTATGATACATATTAGAATTCCCAACTTCTTTTATTTGATCATTATTTAATTTTAATCTTCCAATAGTATCTGTTAAAAAATCACTAATATGAATTGAACGTCTCTAACCCTTTTTACGTAAAGGTTGTTCTTCATTTGGCATCCATCCAGATTTTAGGCCATCATTTGATTGGAATGTAGTTTCATCATGAGTAGCAAGTATGTATAATTTTTTATTTTCATCTAAAGTTAAATCAATTCGTCTTTCAAGATTATTACCCTCAAATGTTGGCATTAGATTTTGATACCTAAAATAAAATTATAATATTATATAAATTATATTAATTAATTAAATTTATTTAAATCCATTATTCTTAGATAAATAAACTTACATGCTAATTCTTTTAAGAAATTGTTTTCAGTATTCAACTACATCTGGTCTTTCATGTCCATCTACATACATTCCTTTTTGATATCTATCATAAACAAATCCCATTTTTTTCAACCATCTATTTGCTATTCGAGTACTTAAAATTAAAGTTATTGTTAATAATTAAATATTATTCAAAAACTTAAAGGTAAATATTTGATTTTTACCTTATTGTTATTTTTGTTTCAATTTCTAAGAATGGCAATATTTCTGACGACACATAATCACAAAAACTTTGAATTGTTACATTATGTTTTACTTTTCGTAAATATGATGAAATTTTAAGCCAAATATCTTCATCATCAATTAGACTTTTTCCTGGATATTTACTACGACCAATTTGTGGAATATTGTTATATAATGCATATGATTTAGTCCAAGTTTGAACACATTTTGAAAACCATTCTCCACGATTTAGTAATTGTGTAATGATTCTAGCAGATTCTAATTTACGATGACCAGATTTCTGTAATTGAAAAAAGTATTGAACTGCTTTATATCGAACCTTTTGACCTGGTGTTATTTTTTTATCAGTTTTAAGTTTATTCTCAATTTTTAAGATATATTCATCTAATAATTGATTGTTTGACTTATCACTTCCTTTTTCTTTTTCATCATCACCATTCCCTTCTCTTTCATCATCACCATTTCCTTCTTCTCTTTCATCATCACTCTTATTCAATATAAAAAATTTATCTAATGTTTGACCATTAGCTTTAATGGCTTCATGTATAGACTTCCTTTTCCTTCTTTTTGTTCTATCAGAATTTCCATGATATGTAAGTGAACGTTTAGATGGTTTTAAATTTTTCATATTATCAACTAGAATTTAAAATAAACTTTCTTTATTAAAGTATCCATCTTCTCACTCAAATCCTTCTTCATTATTAGAGAAATTATATTCTTCATTATCATCTAGATTTTCAAAAAACTAAAAAAAGATTAAAATTATAAAGATAAAGGATATGATTTTTTCATTTATTTATACTATTTTTCGCAAATGTAAAACTTTTTTTTTTACTCTCAGCATTTTTAATTACAAATTGTCAGATCTTCATGTATCACGTACTATACGATATTTCATATAAAATTCACTATGTTACACATTTACGATTTTGGCTAAAATATTATAATGCGGACCAAATTTATAAGGGCCAAATTGGAACAAAATATAGTAAAATTCCATATTTTAAAAGCCTATAACTTTTAATATAATAGTCCGATTTTAATTATTTCAGCATAGTTGAATAGAGTTTAGTAAGAAGTATTAATTAATGTTAAGATTTTTTAAAAATATCATCTCAATATTTTTTTATTAATATTTGAAAATTGTCAATTTTATTAGATATCTTATAGTATCACACACTGTACAGAAGAAGAATACCCACAAGTTCATTACGTATTACAAAAATTGGGCTGATTTGGATAAAATTACTAATACTAATTTAAATTTGCCAGAATATAAAGATGTTTGGATATAGTATTTTTTACTTTAATTATTAAAAGGTCTTAAACTTATAATCAATTAATAAGAATTGGCTATAATCAAAAGAAGAACCAAGATTTGGTTTACAAGAATAGACAGAAGACTGCAAATAATAAGAATCAGGAGGACAAGCTTTTTGAAAAAAACATGTTTCTAAAACTCTGAAAATAATGGAAAAAGGTTTAAATGTTACTAGTGGCACTGGCAAAATTACTTTATTAGCAGAAATTAGGTCACTATTTAGAAAACTTGAGAATTGATGGAATGATTGCTCAAGTTTAGCAAGCTATAGGCAGGATGAATGGAATACTATAGTAGTTACTTTGTACTTATAGAATACTAATTTTTTAGTTTTTTCCCTTTATCATGAAGTTTAACCAAATAGAGTCTTGTATTTACCAAATGGCAGTATTTAATAAATATTAAAAATTTGCATTTATAATACTTAAATAGGCATTGCAATATTTTATTATTTATTAAATATTTAATTTTTCAAGTATTTTTTTAATACTTTAATTTAACATTTAGGCTGAGCAAAAAAAAAAATTAGATTCTTGTGACATAAAATTTTAAAATTAACTCAACCAGCCAGTTTTTTTTTATATATGTAAAAATGTTTTATATGTAATGTTTATTATATTTTGTGTAACTTTGTAATATATAAATAAATTAAACTTGATAAATCAACAGAATCTCGCCTACTATTAAAATATGTTACCGGTAGAAATTTTACTTTTATATGAAACCTTACCTTAGAATTTGCTTAAATTCTATTGGTTAATTAACTAAAAAGGAAAAAAATCATAACAATGTAACATAAAATTTCCTATTATAGTAGGATCTTTAAAGAATTTTATATGTAAACCTTACCTTTATAGCACAGGTCAAAAAAGAATCTATCATACACATATCGGGTACTTATATATCGGTAACCAATTAGGTACATATCGGGTATATATACATATTAACAATATATCGGGTACCCGATTTGATTTTTAATGCGAAACTTCAAATATAGTTAATACAAGAATCTAAATTTTTTTTTTGTCTGGCCTTATAGACACTTTTTTAACACATCTTGTATTCAATAAGTGCTATTTATAAAAATTTAATAAATGCTAAGATAAACATTATGATGTTTATTTTATTTATTATTTTACCCTAAATTGTTATTTTGCTCCTTTTATTTTTTTTTTGATTTGTACGGTTCTAAGTTTCATTCTGCAGTAGCAGTAAGTTTTTGGAAGCACTCATGGTATAAATTAGGAAGAGAGGAACTCTTCTAAAAAAGGATATTTTCACAGTAGGCTTACTTTTCTAACCTAAGTTCTTTACTGACAATATATATATAATTCTCTAACTAAAGATAATGGATGATTTGGAGTTTACTTATATTAGATTTTTTTTATTTATTGTACATGTATTGTATTTTGCATTTATATTATTATCTAATAAAATTCCAAATGTGTTGCAGGCAACTAATTTTTCAAAAATTTCCTTTTTTGAAAAATAAAAATTACAAAAGTAAGTTTATTATAATACTATATAATAATTATATATGTTATAATTATACATGACCTGGTAAATCATCAGCCAAAAATGTAATTCGTAATTCGAAATACGTAAATAATTACGTAATTCGTAATTAATTATGTATAACGTAAATAATTACATTAATCGTAATTATTAATGTTTTCGTAATTAGTCAAACGTACCCATAAATAATTACGTTTAACGTAATTACTGTAAATACTATTGGTAATTAATCACATGATATGTGAAAATGTGAGAAAAACATGCCGAAACTGATAGCTCAGCAGTTTTACAACACGTAATAATAAAAAGAAAATCGCCGAAACTGATAGTTTCAGCATTTTACATGTAATAATAAAAAGAAAATCGCTGAAACTGATAGTTCTGGCATTTTTACTTGTAAAAATGCAAGAAAATTGCCGAAACTGATAGTTCTGGCGTTTTTTCTTGTAGAAATGAAAAAAAATGCTGAAACTGATAGTTCTGGCGTTTTCACTTGTAGAAATGAAAAAATGCCGAAACTGATAGTTCTGGCATTTTACTAGTAAAAATGCAAAAAAAAATGCCAAAACTGATAGTTCTGGCGTTTTTACTAGTAAAAATGAAAAGAAATCGCCGAAACTGATAGTTTCGGCATTTTACATGTAATAATAAAAAGAAAATCGCTGAAACTGATAGTTCTAGCATTTTACTTGTAAAAAATGCAAGAAAATCACCAAAACTGATAGTTCCAGCGTTTTTTCTTGTAGAAATGAAAAAAAAGCCGAAACTGATAGTTCCAGCGTTTTCACTTGTAGAAATGAAAAAAAAACGCTGAAACTGATAGTTTCGGCATTTTCACTTGTAGAAATGAAAAAAATGCCAAAACTGATAATTCCAGTGTTTTTACTAGTAAAATGCAAAAAAAATGCCAAAACTGATAGTTCCAGCGTTTTTACTAGTAAAAATGCAAAAAAAAACGCTGTAATAACCGAAAAATACAATAAAATAGAATAAGGATAAATAATTAGCCAAAGGATAAATAATTAACCGATGGGTAAATAATTAGCCAATAAAATTATATTTATAGTTTAGTTTAGTGTAACGAGATAGTCATATAATAATAGATCTTCAAATTTTATTAGAAAAGATAGTAAATATTAGAAATATTAGAAATATTTTTTTTAAAAATGTATAAATACAAGTGGATTTCGATAGGAAATTCTGCAGTCAAATTTTGGCTCAAATAAAATAATATTAAAATATTAATTATTAAAATTTATTCAAATATGAATATACTCATTGTACGCTTGAGAATTAATTAATATTATATTATTAAGTTTGAGATTTTAAAAAATATTTGGTAAGAAAATAATGTTTTTGTAATTTTTGTAACTAATTTTTATTTTAAACTAAGCATAGATTTCTTTACGAACTCAACACGTCGGTGGCAACATACGATATTTTATTTTAATATCCTATAGGCGGCGTGCCACAACGCCGAAACCATCAGTTCTGGCATTTTTACTTGTAGAAATGCAAAAAAAATGCCGAAACAGATGGTTCCGGCATTTATATATATAAAAATGCAAAAACAATAAAATGCTGATATAAAAAAAGCACATGACCCATGATCAGCCAATAATATTTACGCTAATTACGTATGACATAAATAATTACGTATTTACGTATTTTTTAAAAAATCTGGTAATTAATTACCAGGATTATGAATTACGTATTTATACGAAAATAGGGAATTACCAGGCCATATATAGTTGTAATAGTTGCAATCTTATAACCTTTTAAAAATAATTACATATTACATTTTTAAATTATCCTTAAATATTAAAACACTACTTTTTATTATAACAAATATTATAAAATAACATATCATGTGACTATTCAGCATAAAAATTTCTTTAATATTCTAGATTTCAAATTTGATTGATTCATCAGGTTTAGGCATATTGATTATTTATTTGTTTATCATTTACTAAGTTGTTTACCATAATAAATTTTTTTTCACTTTTCCCTTTTTATATATTTTTTAAAAAGTTTGTTACAGTAATTAATAAAGTTAACTGTTAAGTATTTTTACAATATACATATTGCCCAAGTTATTTTGGACTGCCATAATTATAAGTAAAATCCCAAATTCAATTAGGACAATGACATATATTAGCTAATATTTTAGGGGGTGGGGGGGAGTAAACATTACTATTAAAATAATATTAGCTAATATATGTATGTCACGGCATCCCAAATTATTTTGGCATTTTACATAGTAAATTACATATAAACTGAATGAATTATAGCATTCCAAATTATAATTATGGTATCCCAAAATAATTTGGGCAGCATGTATATTTTACAACTTCAAATATAAAATGTTGTCAATATTTATTACTTATTTTAGTGACGGATTGTAGGTTAAGTTATAGGTTAATATATTGAAAAACTAAAAAAATGGAATCATTTTAATAAAGATGATCAAAATACGCCATAAAAGTCACGTGGATGAAAATTTTATAAATTTTGTTGATGAACTGTGCCACATATGGTCAAATTAACAAAAAATAAATCCTACGTTTAAACAAACAAAAAAATTATGGATAGTGATAGTGTACAGATTGAACAAGAAGTTTATGGCGACGAGCGTGAGCCGGAAGAAGAGGATAATCAGTATTCATCTTCCGAAGCAGAAGAATCTACCGATTCTGAAGCTGCTAAGGAAATTGCTGAAGGATTCATTGTCGATGAGAACGAAGAGGAGGAGGTGGTGGAAGAAGTAAAAGAGAAACGTAAAAAGAAAAAGAAAAAAAACAAGAAGAGACGGCATGAATCTTCAGACGATCTAAGTGAGGATGAACTTGATCTTATCGAAGAAAACACAGGTGTAAAAATTGCTCGTAGTGAGGTATTTTACCGGTTTATTTCCTCTTTTACTGACATTATAATCAGTGTATTGTTAATATTATTAATTTAGCGTATTGTTTTTTTCCTGTTTTAAAGCAAAAATTCAAACGTTTAAAGAGAGGAGTAAGAAAACCATCGAAAGATGTAAAAAATATTTTTGATGAAGATGAAGAGGAGGAAGTTTTAGAGGAAAATGAGGAAGACTTTGTCGTTTATGATGATGGAGAAGATTTTATTGAAGGTGAAAGGCACGCACCAACATTATTCGATGAAGTATTTCATGATCTTGAGGACAAATATTCGTTTGCCTTCGAAAAGATTGTAAGTTATTTTTAATTCTCTATTGTCATTTTTTTTTCGACCAAGATAAATTCTATGTAATATTATTTAGGAAGAACCACCGGATTTTAATATTGAATCATTGGAAAAAGTATTTAGCCCAGAAGCTTATTTAACTCGAAAAGATAAAGAAATAAAATTGACTGACTTACCTGAACGCTTTCAAGTAAGCTTATTTTATGTTCGACGTTAAAATATTTTAACCAAAAATAACGACTGTCTAATCATCAAATTAGCTTCGACCTGATATCGTAGTGAATCGTAAACTTACAAAAGAGGAAATCAATCAAGCAACAGACACAATAACTAAATCTCTTGCAGATTATCATGGAATTCTAGTATCGTCACAATTGTCTAGGTCTGTTAAAAATGCCTTGACACTTTTCGGCCAAGAATTTGTTGAAGTTCCATACATATGGACCTATAAAAGAGATTTGATCGCTAATTATGATGAAGATCCTGTGACAACAATCCTTTCTCGGACTGATTTGTGGCACATTTTTGATCTCGAATATGATTTCAGAAAATTTGTGGAAATGAGAGATAAACTGAATTCCGAAATTTATAAAAACCATTCTCAGGATTCCTACGTCAGTAAGGTGTTTTCGGAAGCGAAGGAAATTGACGAACTTTATGATCTGAGTGTATACATTAAATTTCAAGAAAAGAAAAAAACCATAAGTGTTCAACAAGTTTCACCAACAGAAGAATTACGTCGCAAGGGCATGGTATCTAAGAATCTTAAATATTTAGAATATATTCACAAAGGTCTTCTCAAGATAGTTGACAAATTTGGAGTTCAAATTCCTTCATTTGTACGAAGTCTTAATTCAGAAACTAAGCTTCATCAACCCGTTAACGAGAGCTCGACTCCTCGGGAAGTAGCACTGCAATTATATCCTGAATCTAAAGCCCCTGATGAATTATTAAAACAATCCATGGAATTACTTGCATATGAAATGTCAGTTGATCCTATGTTCCGGAAATTTGTTCGTAATAATTATATGCAAAATGGACTTTTAATTACTTCAGGTCCATTGGAGGCTATTTCTGATAACAATGAAATCTGGTCTTACTGCTTCTGGAAGATACCTATCCAAAAGGTATTCAATATTGGTGGAGATTTTGCTCGAATTTTACATTATAAAAATCAAAATTTGATAAATATATCGTTTCAATTACGTAACGAAGAAAAGTTTTTAGAAACATTAAAAAATAATATTGTAAGTGATATTCCAAGACGATTCGATTTAGAAACTGCTCCAGCCTCGAGTAACCATGTTGAATGGAATAAATATCGTGTAGATGCTGCTTTTAAAGCATATAATGATATTTTACGACCAATTATTGAATCATGGTTAATAGCAAAATTCAAAGCCAACGCCGAACAATCGATAATGGAGCAGTGCATGCTCAATTTAGAAAGGAAGATTGATGTTAAGCCATTTAGGACACCAGAAATGCGTAGAAATGCAATTCCTCGCGTTTTTGCATTATCATTTGGAGCTGGTGGAATAGAGAATGATACTTGTTGTGTCTATATCAACGAAAATGGTAAAAAGGCCCAAGAATGGTCTTGGCCCATGCTCAAGGACTTAAATTCGAGAGAAGGAAATGAATTTCTGGATGCTCTAGAAGAAATTAACCCTCACGTTGTTGCCGTACGATGTTATGATTTTAAAACAAAGTTTCTACTTCAAACTGTTAAAAACTTTGTACGTTATCATAACGAGAGACTAAAGAATCAATCTGACAAAGCCACTGTAATCGTTACTGATGATAAAGTAGCAATGGAATATACAGCTTCGGAAATAGCCAAAAAGGAGTTTCCTAAGTCGTCGGAATTATCTAGATATTGTACATCCTTAGCTAGGATGATTCAAAATCCATTAATGGAATATCTTAGGCTTGGAGACAAAATATTGGCTATTAAATTTCATCCTTTACAATCCTTTTTGCCTGAAGAAAAATTTAAAGAGGCTTTAGATCGGGCGTTCGTTAACGTAGTTAATGAAGTAGGAGTTGATATCAATGACATTTTACGTGACGAGTTTAATGAGCCAAGACAAAGAGCTTTACATTACATTTGTGGGTTTGGTCCTAGAAAATCTATATATTTAAAGCAAGTAATATTTGGGGAAAATTACAAGCCATATTATGAACCATTTATTGATAGTCGAGCTACATTGAAAGAGACATATCTTGAACCAAAAATCTTCCAAAATTGTGCTGGATTTTTAAGAATACGCTCTGACCCTTTGGAGCCATTAGATGATAGTCGTATCCATCCAGATCTCTATGATCTGGCACGTAAATACTCCAGAAATACTCCTGATATGGATGATGCACGTTCAAATCAAAAATATTTTGTAATGCAATTGATTAAGAGAGAAAACAGGAACCCTTTCGGTGACAGACGAAGAGATTTCGAAATACCAACCGATGATCAAGTTTTCGAAATGGTTACTAAAGAAACGAAAGATAGTTTGTATCCGGGTCTAATTGTTTCAGTAGTTGTTAAGAGCATTACTACTGGTGCTTTAAGAGTTCGTCTTAAGAATTCAGGTTTCGAATGTAATATTGGATGGAATTATATAGATAAGAAAGTAAATAATAATATTGAAGAAGGTGATACACTCGACGCTTTAGTAAAGTCAATAAATAAAGATGATTTTACTATAGTATTAAGTTGTAAACCGAGAGATTTAGAAAAAGGACATCATATTTCTTTTTACGACAAAAGATTTGATGAGTTCATTGATAGAGAGACTAAACAGAATTACCAACCTCCAATAAAAGGTAAAAGCATCCTTAAAGTAATTTTATTTGCCTTAATACATATTTTTATATTTAAACTTTGATTATTAGTTAAAAAAGTAAGTCAATATGTCCCAAAACCTAAGCCGAAACCACCACGAACCATTACTCATCCTTGTTTTGAAAGAGTTTCTGCTCAAGAAGCAGAAGAAAAATTATCTACGCAGCCAAATGGATTCTATATCATTCGACCGAAGACAGATAATCCAGATAAGCTTTCAATAACTTGGAAGATTTGTGATAATGTTTATCGTCATTTCGGTAAGTTATATTTTAAGCTATCCCGTGATCAACAAATTATCATTAAATTTCAATTATTTTCGAATAGATATAATTGAGTTAGGACTGGATCCCGGTCTAGAAGTTGGTCGCAGGTTATTTGTAGAAAATGAACAAACGGAATATGAAGCTTTGGAAGAATTATTAGTCACATATATTGAGGAAACAAACGATTTTATTGATAAGATGATTAATCATCAAAGGTTCAGACCAACTGAAAGACAATTAGATGAATTTTTGGAATCTTGTCTTCGAAATAATCCGAAATATACTGCATATGGATTTTATATGGACAATTCTAACCCTGGTTGTTTCATCTACGGGTATAAATTTAGACCTGGAACTCGAATGTCGAAAATGGTATCAATTTATTTATTTATTTTTTTGGGGACAGTTTGAAACTAAAGCTAATCGAGATTACGATTTTATTAGCGAGGAATGTTTAGACCTTATGGTCTTCGTGTTGAAGATCTCCGCTTTTCGAATCTCGATGAACTCATAAATGGAATGAAACAAAAAATTTATGAACGATATTCTCGTAAACGCTAATAAGTTTTGTTATACATTTTATTTATTATAACGTTTCAACTTTATTAACTTCCGTTTTGCTTGTAAAATTTAAAATAACGTTGTGACAGTTATATGACTTATATGTATCTAGTATTAATAATTTTTTTCTTTGTTAATTGCTTAAAGAATTAATAAATTTAATAAATTTATTTCAAAATTATTTAAATTACAACTAGTTTTGGGTCACGTTAGTATTGGGTCACGGTATTGCGTACATAAATCACGTGAGCTGTAATCAAAAGAAATAAAAAATTTTTTTTTAATCTTGCTGCGAAGAAAAAAAAATTATTCTCCTTATTTACAAGAAAGTAAAACTCAGAATATAATTTCTTTTATTTGAATAAATAGTGCAATGGTATTTTAAGAATATTTACTGATCAAAGTTTCAGGTTTCTTTGTTTTAATTGTCAAATACTAATATTTTTGGTTTATAGGACGCAAAACAACCAGTTAAACTTGCAAAAGTCATCAAAGTACTAGGCCGTACTGGTTCTCGGGGTGGCGTAACTCAAGTTAGAGTTGAATTTATGGATGATTCAACTCGTTCAATTATTCGTAATGTTAAAGGACCAGTCCGTGAAAACGATATTTTGTGTCTTTTGGAATCTGAACGTGAAGCAAGACGTCTTCGTTAAATCAATAAAAAAATTCATATTTATTTATGGACTGATAGACTGATTTACTGGAGGGAACTATACTGAAAAAAAAAATGGTTGCAAAATTTTAAAATTTGTTATTGATTTTAATGTTGTTAATAAATTTCCTTAGTAATCATATACATTATAGGTTGCAAAATTAGTTCTTCGATTTTACAAGAAGTTTTATTAATAAACTTTGCTAATATCTAATTGATAGCGATTAAAAAAATGTTCAATTTTTGATATATATATATATATAAATAATAAGTTTTGTCGTAAAATTGTAAAATCTTTTAACATATTCCCGAATCCTCACCTAAATTACCGTAAAGGACCAATATTCCTTAACTTTAAAATACTTGCAACCACCGTGTAATTACTAAATATTTCAATATATTAATGTATATTTTGCATTTTCAACATTCACGGGAATATTTTATTCTTATATTTAACCGTGTAAAAAAATATGATTTATTTATTATAAAATTATAATAATTTACAATTGTTATATACGTTATATGTTATATATTTTAATTTGAAAATACTTATTTAATCGTAATAGATCAGTAAAAAAATTCAATAGATCTTTTTAGAGCTCCATTCCAACAAGAATGAACTCGTTGGAATGATTATACGTGCCAGGGGGCACGAGCTCGAAGCCAAAATAAAAAAAGCTTCGAATTAATGTAGCTAAAAATGAAATAGGAGTCAATAAATCAAGATTTTAGAATTTTTTTTTTTTTTTTTTTCAAAAAAAAAAATAATTTTAAAGGAACTTACAAAGGCTGGAATTTTTGTCATTCCTATCAAGGCATATTACTAAAGTATCACACTTTAGTAATTCTTCGGCCAGCTCGATAACAGCAACAATGCTAATTTGTTACAATAGCGTAAAAAGGTGCAGCACAAACAAAGTAGAACAAAATGAAATTTTTTTAAATAAAAAAGTGTTAGAACTCAAAATATGTGGTTCATAATCCCTTAACCGCTTTCGTCAACACACGATCAGTAAAATCAAACATTTCCACAGTCAAATTCTTGCTCATAATGCTATTTATGTTTCAAAAATATTTAACATTGAACAAGAACATAGCTATGGTAATCATATGATTACTTTCAGCGGTTTTAATGAACCGGGACACTTATGATCCAACATATCTTGAAATATGTTTATTGTGTTGCTTAAATAAAAAAATTTACACATAATGATTTATTAATAGCGTACCTCTCCTTTAGAGAGTCATATTCCAAAGAAGAGACTCTCAAAAATAAAGTGTTATTTTTAATTATACCACTCCAAGTCGGAGTGGTATCTTTTTCTGGAATTATTATTAATTCGCGTAATTCGCGGTCGATTTTTATGGGATGGCGGAAAATACCTTCTAAATTTCTTAAATTTCTTGAGGGGTTTGAGGGGTTTAGTAAAAAATCGGGAGTCGTGTCCTGTATTGAGGGATTTAGAGGTCGTGAAAGCATTTTCATCGTATTATCGTCTATAAGTTACTGGTTAGAATACAAAGGGGAGCGATAAGAAAAAGGAATTTTTTGAAATACTTACAGGAACGCCACCCAGTCTTCTTGCCCACTGTATTAAGAGTATAAAGATCAATAAGAATGTGTTTAAATAAATGAACTATATTTTTATATTAATTTTACTTACAGGTAGAATAATAATATTTAGTAGCACCATCGTGATAAAAACAGATAGCCAAAAGTTCCTTTGGCAATACGGGCTGGCTTTTTCTTAAAGCCAGGTTTTTTAGCTGAATACCAATATTCGACATTTTTCAATGGCTGGAGGAAGAAAAATTAGAGATGAGGACGTAAGTTTTGGTCAAAGCTTCGGGCAAAATAGGCTGTTTAGACGCAAATTTGTTATTTTGATAGAATAATGCTCTAAATAATGTCGTTTGCTACGTTATAAATTTGATGTTTTAAGGCTACAACTTAACTTTATTAACTTGGTCGCAACCTTATATAAAATTTATACTGAACTAGCTTTCTCGATAACGATTGGTCAATTATGGGAAATCTTTGGGCGCTCAGTAGTGGTTACATATATGTTACGCCATTCTAAACTTATCTTGTCAGATATCCATTCTTCATTAGAATAACAAAAGCCCATACGGGTAAACTTACGTATTACAAGATAGTGATTGGGATCATGTCATAAAATAATTATTTGATAAGCTTGGAATATTCGTTTAGTATAGTCAAAATCGATTTTGTAAGAATTAATGTCATAATAATATCAACTAAAATGCAAGCTTAAACGAATACTCGAGTATATTCGATTATTATAGATGCTTGGAAACACTCAATATCCGCTATAAAATTTAGTATGTGAGAAATTTTAATGGTATGAAGATCTTGATATAGAAATAATCACATGATAATTTAAATTTATTCTAGTTTTTGATCAATTATTATATTATCTGTTATAGCTACTCATGTTTTCACGTCAACTATTATCCACAGTTTTAATAAAACCTCCGATTCATTCTTTTCAACATAAGAATTTTTTATCCACAATGTCTAATTCTTTTAAGCTTGCATGTATTCAATTAAGTGTTACAGCTGATAAAACCGTCAATTTATTAAAAACGAAAAGCAAAATTTTGGAGGCATCTAGAAATGGTGCTAAAGTTATTGTTTTGCCGGTATCTAGCTTATATCGAGCTGATCGATTTGTTTTGATTTTTTTTTTATTATTTTTAAAAAGCTTATTATTAGGAATGTTTTAACTCGCCTTATGGAACACAATATTTTGCAGAGTATGCAGAAAACATTTCACAAGGAGAAAGTGCAAAAACCCTTTCTGAAGCAGCGAAGGTAAATTAAATCAACTAATTATATATTATATATAATATATATTAAATTAATTTGTTATTATCCATTCAATTTTGATTCTCGTTAGGAAGCTAAAGCATTTGTTGTTGGGGGTGAATAACCTTTACAGATCAATTCACGATACATGATTCTATTTCAGTTTAATGTTGAAATTTATTTGATTTTGAAGGATCTATACCAGAACGAGAGGATTCGTCGGGAAAGTTATTTAATACTTGTCTAGTGTACGATACCGAAGGTAATTGATTTTGATGTCAATCACATAATTGATCATTGATTCTGAATAACATTTGACCCTTTTGTTAGGAAATTTAATTGCAAAGCATCGCAAAGTTCATTTATTTGATATCAATATTCCAGGGAAGATAAAATTTCAAGAAAGTGAAACATTGTCTCCCGGGAATTCTTTGACACAATTTGAAACTGGTTTGTCAATAATTTATTTTTTAATTTCATAATCATATTTCAATTGTCTAATATCGAATATTTAGATTATGGAAAGATTGGAATTGGTATTTGTTATGATATGAGATTTCCGGAGATGGCTATGATTGCTTCTAGAAAAGGTATAATTTATTCTTACTAGTGGGTGATACTATAAATTTGTGTTGATTTCATAATTTTTTTTTTTTTTTGAAAGGATGTATTGCAATGATATATCCAGGAGCGTTTAATCTTACAACTGGTCCATTACATTGGGAGTGTAAGTTTTTAGAATAATTCAATTAATTTAGTGTCATAATGATTTATTATTTTTTTAAAAAATTTATAAAACAGTATTACAAAGAGCTAGAGCAGTCGATAATCAAGTAAATATTTTATTTTGAAATGTTTAGCATTTAGTTTTACATGTGAAGTTAAAATTATTTATTACATAGTTTTTTGTGGCTACATGTTCGCCTGCCCGGGATATGTCAGCGGCTTATCATGCATGGGGACACTCTACTATAGTTGATCCAAGGTGAGTTTAGCACATTGTTTTGTACTTTGATGTCTATTACGAAACTTATTTATTATCATAAATGTTATATTTAGTGGACAAATTCTTGCAACCACAGAGCATGAAGAAGCGATTATTTATGCTAATATTGGTAAGAAGTTTATGAAAATCTGTACATTTGTATGTGTGTTTTTTACATTTCCAACTTATTTTTAGATGTGGAACAAATTAAAGTAATAAGACAATCAATACCAGTTCCATCACAAAGAAGATTTGATTTATATCCTAATATAACTGCTAATGAGTGAATTTTCTGTAATTACAAAAAATAAAAAAAAAATAATAAATTTTTCTTTAATATTACTATTTGTTTTTTTTTATTTTTTAATAACCGCAGTACATTTACAAATTTATTAGAATAATGTTAGTAATTATACATAAGTAAAAGAACTATATAACTATGCTAATATTATTAATTTGTAAACCATTCGTCATTCCTCTATGGAACCCCACATGTGCACTGTCGGGTGGTCATGGTGACTAATCAGGTAGATAGGCGACGTATGTAACGCACCATCTTAGCGTGTAGCCCGATGTTTTCGTCACATTACTATTTGAGTGGCAACAAATTAATATATAACAATTACATTTTAATCTAAATAATCTGATCTGGTTAAATTTTAAACATATATTCATATATTTGGTTGACTTAATTTTATTTGATTTTTAGCAATTCATTTTTATTGCCAGTATTAATAGGTTAATAAAATAATATTCTATTTAAAATATCAGATATTTTTTATTTTTTAATTAGATGTAATTTTCTTTAATTAGAATCTTGTATTATATAAAATATAATTGGTATTGTTTTGTACTTTAAAATTAAATTAGATAAAATAATATCAAAAAATACTTGTGCAGAAATATATATTGCTAATTCATTATTTTCTATAAAGACAATATTATTGGTAACATAAAATTATATAGAATATAGAAGGAAAAAACATTATAAAGAAAATTTACTTTTCAAAAATTTTTAAATTTTATACTTAATTTTACATATATTATATGAAAAAATTTAAAAATTTATTCAAATTTTTACATATTAGATTAATAAAAAAAGAAAATATTTTATTTAAAGTATTTAATAAATTTAATATACAGTCAAACTTCTAAGCATTCTGCATTTACTTTTATAAATTTTTCAAAATGGTTTTTAAACCCATTTTTTAAATTTTTTATAAGACATTTTTTTTTTGTTAAAATAGGTAACATTTTTTTTTAAAAAAATAGTTTTTAAATAAGGTTATTGTTTTTTTTTAATTTTTAAAAAAACCTTTTTTTTATTAAAACAGGTTTATTTAAACTATCAATTTTTTTTCTTTTAAAATTCAGATTCTTGGATACTAGATTTTAAAATAGTATATAAAACAGATGTAAATTAATGTTTTTTTTCTTAAAAATACTTTTGAATTTGAAATTCAACTTTTGAATACTGGACTTTAAAATAATATGTAAAATAGATAAAAGAACTGTTTTTTTAATTTAAAAATATTAATAATATGTAAAATAGATAAAAGAATTGTTTTTTTTATTTGAAAATATTATTAATATTTCTTTTTTTTTCTCTAAAAATTAATAGCTTTTAGACTTTAAAATTCATAAAATAGTAAATTAGAATATATATATAATTTTTTTCAGTTTTTTTATTTAAAAATATTACTACCATTTTTTTTTATTTTTAGATAAAACTTGTAAACTTAAGCCAATTCAAATCCAATTCAATTTAAACTAAAATTTTTTGTGATTAAATTGAACTAAACTTTTTGTAATTTAGCTTATTATAAATTTAATATATTTAATTCAATGCAATTTTTTAAATAAAATTTGTTAATTTTTGGTTCAATTTGACTAATTTATGTCAAAAAATTGGTTAATTTAATATTATTTTTACCTTTTTATAATAGGAAAAATAAATAATAAATAAAATAAGAATAAAAAATATATTTAATACAAAAACAGTAAAATTTTTTTAAAGCTTTTATTAAACTAAATATTATATTTAAAAATAAGCATTTTTAAAAGTAAAAGTACTGATAGGTTTTTTTTTGCTTTTATTACTTTATAGGAGTGAATAATTTTATTATTTATTTATTCTGCTAGCTGTTTAATTAATTGATAATTTATACTAGGTAGAGTAATTGATATTTTGAATAAGATTTTTAAGATTTTTAAGATTTTTTTTTTTGATAAAGCAGATTAATTATATATTACATATCAAAAATGGTAAAAATAATTTTAATTAATATTATTATTGATATCCATTTGATTTTAATATTTCAGTTTACTTTCACTATTGTAAATTCCATGAACTAAAGATTAAAATTTGTTATAGTAAGAAATTCACTGAAGGTTATTTTATTATATAAAAAAATCTGTACCTGAATTTTTTCTTCATTATAGCAAGTTTAAAAATTTGCTATAGAGAGGGTAAACTGTATATCTAAAATAAACACAAATGATAATTTCTACAGAATCAACTTAAGGTGTATTTTTTTGACAAACAAAAAAATAAGATTTACTATGAAAAGTATTTATACTTAAAATATGCTTAAAATACCTAAACTGAGCTTAAAATATACCTCTAATGTACTTAGTGTATTTTTATATAATTAAAATATACTTAAATTAAAATTTAAATACATTATAACAGATAAGAATATTTTAAACGTACTTGAATTCTAATTTAAGTATATTTTATTGATACTTATTTAAGTATATTTTAATAAATTTGTTAAGTATAAATACAAAATTGTTGATAGAGAAATTGATAATCAAATTTCTCATCTTCTAGTAACTCACGTATTATTATATTCATATTGAAGATGTTAATGTAAATATCTGCTAGAAGAGTCAATTTGAAGAATTAAAAGTTTTAAGACACATAAACGGGTTAAATCATTAATTGTAAAAAACTTGTTGATACTTGATATTATTTTAAATATTGGATGGGCTTAAACAAAATAATAAATTCTTTTATAACGACTGTTCTCTGCATGATTACGTAAACTATCGTAACTAATATATAGCGAACCTGTAACCTAGAAAAAACCGGATCCGGGAGGCGGCCCAAACTCGGATTTTGATATGTTCCGGGCCCGAGCCTTCTGAGTTCTGATCTTAGACAGTGAATCTAGATTTTTTTTTTATATTTTAGGTCGAATTTTATTATATATGCATTATTATTAAAATTTAATACTAATTATTATTATATAATATATAATATATATATATATATATATATATAAATGTAATCTATACTAATACTGTCTTCTTTTGCACTTCAATCAATCTTCTTGACCGCCTTAAAAACCTTACGACCATACGTATTTACAGCAAAGTTAATAAATAACGCAGTTAATGGTAACAAATACGCAACATTAAGATAAGTAGCATAACGAGCTGTATCAGTTCTTAAACAATCATTGACAAATAAATAAGAAATAGCCAATGGTGTTCCAATTAAAAATTGGGTTATTTGCATTGTAGTTAAATATTGTTTTCCCGGAGGAGATAAACCGATACAAGTAGCCGCATAATATGCATACATTACAGAATGTATGAATGAATTAAAGACAACAAAAATCCAAATCGGTGGCGCTTTAGAGTTCATTCCACTCCACATTGTGATAATTGCACCTGCATGATGATATGTTTGAAGGAATGACGAACGGCGTCCTTTTAAGAGGATGATAATTGTGTCAATAATTTCATAAACTAGCGAAATAATACGGTAAATAATGCGGTAAGTAATACAAGAAAGAGCATTCAAGTTGCAAGTAAGAAATATAAGGAATGGTTGCGTTTATTTATACATACATTTTGATAGATAAAAGAAGTAACCCCAATAACCGAGAGCACTATTCCACAACGAACTATCTCGATCGCAATACTATAATACAACATAATACATAACGAGCGGAGATACGAAACGATAAGTGACATCACAATATTATATTTGGCAAATCAATTCGAAATAACTTACGGCATCAGTAAAATTATCACTATGGTTCTTAAAATTCGTAACAAATGCGCTTGCCATGTTAATAAAAGTAATTATACTAAACACGCACAAAGCCAAGTTATGCAAGAATACGAAACCAGTCATTAGGGGATTACTTTTTGTATTTGTTACTTTAATACCTTTTTGTTTTGCTACTATACGAGAAACGGCATTAGATTTCGGATTGAATAAAGATACTGAAATTATGTAAAGGGAAGCCATTGTCAGCGGAAATCTATAATCCATGAAATATGGATAATACTCAGGGAATGGAATTCCTTTTGGCATTTGTGCCGTTGAATTATGAGAAAATATTTGTTCCATGATGATTATTTCTCAGAGAAAAGTTTAAGGATTTATTTATTTTTTTTTATTTATAATGGAATCGCCTCCTTTATAAATATTATTATTCCCTATTTTTATTGAAATCTAATATATTTAACAATCGTAACAATCGTAAAAAGAAAAAAAAAATGGTTTTTTTTTATTTTTTACACGGGCAAAAAGGACATTCATATATAATAGCAATCGTAGATCCCAATTTCAATTATGTCTGAATCTCGTCCCCAAAAACTTTCTAACCGCTTTTTTTCTTTATTCTAGTTTATCTTTTATTTGGCATAAAAAAAAATTCACGTGTTAGCCGCGTGGAAATTTAAAAAACAGATAATATTAAATTATTACCAATTTTTGGGGGTTAATTAAAAGAGATTAATTTGGGGTAAAAAAAAAATGATTTCTCCCCAACAAAGTTTTTGGAATCTTCAATTTAGGTCACATGCATATTTGCAATCATCCCAATTATCATTTTTTTAACCGTAGTAATCATTAAAATATTAAAATAAATCTTAAGCATTATTCTACAATTACGGTACTACAAATACTACATGTAATACTTTCACATGATGATATTTAATATTCCTCCTGTTCTCACGCCCGTTGATCACATTTTTTTTTGACGCATTTATTAAACCAATCGGAAAATATTTTATAAAGTCCGATAAGCCGAGCGCATATACCATTTTTCCGTTAAAATGTTTATCCAATATTTCAAAATATATAAATGACGCTAATCCTTTCATTTTGAAATTGATTTACTAATCAAAAAAAAAAAAAAAAATGTCTACTATAACAACCGATCCAACAAAATACTTATGTCATTCTAATTTGCAAGACAATTCACAAATCGATGAACAACAATATATTAATTCAACTGAACAACAAATATTTTCATTACCGATCGTAAAAGAATTAAAAAATGATTCATCATACAGAGAATCAAGAGGGTATGAACATATTAAAGAAGAACAATTAAATCATCATTTTACTGCTGGAACTTTAAACGGAAAAGGAAAAGTCACTGTTAAACCTTTAATTTTCTTTTCTGAAGAAAAGAAAGAAAGTGTTACTATTCTGCATATTGGAGACCATATGTGTGGGCATATTGGAATTGTTCATGGTATTTAAAATGAATATAAGAATTCTTTTCCAAAAATATATTATAATATTTTGTTTATATTTCTTTCTTTTCCCTAAGGTGGATTTTTATCAACTATAATGGATGAATTACTTGCAAGAACTGTAAGTAATAACTATATAAAAAATAGATTGAATTGATTTCGCTTTCTAACTAAAATTATTTTTTATTTTCGTTTTTTTTCAGGTTATTCCTTTTTTGCCAGACAAAAATGGTGCTACCGCTTATTTACATGTAAATTTTCGTAAGCCATGTAAGCCGGATCAAATCGTAATTGGACGTAGTAAAACTACAAAATTAGAAATAAAAAAAGGATACGTTGAAGGAACTTTAGAAAATTTAGAAGGCGTGGTAGTTGTGGATGCTAATGCTTTATTTATAAGTGTAAAGAAATTGGAATAATTTAGTAATTTATATAATAATTAAGGGACCAACTTATCCACTGTTACATAATTACATAATTTCCAACCATCATAATCTGCTATACTTTTCTCAAATAGTTGACTAAAATAGAATATTATTTACTAAATTATACATATAGAGAAATATACACATGTATTGTAACTATTTATGGTTTCTTTTTTAACATTATGTATACTCTTCCAAATAATGTTATTTTTTTTAATCTTAATAATTATAATTATATAAAAAGTAAAACTCAAAATATATAAATAATATTTATTAATTAAGAAGGTTTACTGATTAAAAATTGAATTTCTTTAAAATATTTAAAAACTAATATTTTGATTTATAAAAAAAGACCTATTAAACTTGCAAAATTGTTAAAGTTTCTAGCAATACTAACATTAAAAAACTAATCTATAATAATATTTATATTTTTACTAATTATATTTATTTATAAACTATTAATAGAACTAATTTATTGAAAATATAGAAATAGTTATATTGAAAAACAAAAATGTTACTATCAGTTTATTCAGTTAATGCAATAATAAAATAATATATATTAGCAGTTAAGTAATATTTTAAATAGTAAAAAAAAAAGAAAGCAAAATTTCATATAATACAAAGTTATTCTTTTTTTTTGGATCTTACAATATTATTTAACTTGCTTTAATAAATCATTATAGTAGTAATTTATACAAAAAGTAAAGTCCATTTATGCTATAATGACAATGCAATTATGCAAATATAAAAAAACAATAGGTATATTAAGTATTTTTATTGGTTAAAATTAATATCATATATAAATATTTGTTTAAAAAAATTTTATGATGTGTAGTTAGATTAAAATATTAGAAATAGTATTATATAAAATCTGATTTATAAATATTTAAGGTTGATAAATTTAACATTAATAGCATTAAATGCAGTTAAAATTGTATCATTGTAAATTATTAGAATCACCAATAATAATAAAAGTATTTTAATTTAATTATCGATATCGCTCTCCCCCCCCCTTAACAATTTTCATACTAAATATGCCGATTACCGATCTTTGTCAAATTTTCTAATTCTCTATTTTTCATTTGCCTGCTTTACAATTTTACTTAGAATGCTTTTATATGGGGTGCAATATATCGCGGGTGCGATAAAAAACAAAATCCTAATATTTTATTTAGAAAAATTCATTTAAAAAAAAATAAATAATCGTGTTTATTAATAATTTATAAATATATGAAAAAATTTACATTACATTGTTTTAAAATTCGTTAAAACAAAATAAAATTATTTAAATCAACTAGTTGGCCAAAATTCCAAAATTACACGGACTTGACCATTACATGTACCACTAACTTTTGCATCTGGCAAACTAACCCATTGGTCAATATATTCGTTTTTATATACTTGGTCAAGAGAAATTTTAGCTACACCAATCTAAAATTAAAATTATTTAAAAATAAAATAATTAAAATAAAAATAAGCATTTATGCTATTTTTACCTCTTCATCCGCACCAACATCTTCATCAAGAACTCTGAGATTAAGTACTTTATTATCATTAACAAAACTGCAATATTTAAAATATAGACATTATTAAACTGTGAACTGTAATAAAAAAAAATATATATATAAAGGGAAAAAACTCACTAATGGAAAAACTTGTCCCAAACAGGAGTAGCGGTTCCACTTCTAGTATCGGTCTTATGTTTACTAGAATCATTATCCAACCAAAGTTCGACATAAGGGTCACCTATTATAAAAAAAGTGTTATTTATCCGTAATAATAAGGAAGATTTTTTTTTTTTGAAAAATAAATACCTTTGCCTGTTCAAAAATAATTAAGGTAGGATTAAATATTAATAATTATTCGATAAAAATTATTTTACAAGAAAATTCGCAACATACCAATGACGTCCGTGTCTTTAATGTCTTTACCTTCAACTGTTGAGCACAAAGTGTTAAATTAGAAAAATTAAAAAGGTATTACGTGTAGAATTTAACTTGAAACTCTAAGTACCAATATGAACTTCAAGCTTTCCTCTAGTCATTTTTACTCGTTAACAAAAGTTTAAAAAATAAAAGAAGTAGAGAGAAAAATTTAAGATAATCCAAATTTATCACAAGGCTGAATTTGTAACTAATAATCACAAATAAGCACAAATTTGGTGATACCACAGCCCCTATTACACAATCAATACAATCATTAATACTACGCGAAGAGTTCCCATACGTAGTAGTTACATACCTATTGAGAAGTTGTTGAGAAGTTATAAATGAATAAAGTAACTTTTTTAGCAGATTTTTTTATTTAATATTCTAAAAGTTCGATAATGAAATTAAATAGTACTGAAACTTCAACACGATTGCATCACGAAAATCTTGATAAACAGACGCCCTTAAAGTGGGAAATATATACTGAAATCAATTAACAAATGTATTTTTATCGGTAAAACCAGATCAATTAAATAGCTTAAATTGGAGAGATGAGAGATAACTTTTAGTAGTCATATGGTTTTACAATTTATTCTCCATAACAAACTATTGAATTAGTCTGTCCTACATTAAAATTCTTCTGATGTTGAATCCTCTTAATTTATCTTTTAGCATTTTGTAATTGAAACGAGTTATTAGTACACTCAATAAATAACATGAATAAATAAAAAATGCCAAGAACTTTCTCCCCATAATTTCATGTTCAATATTATGTGATAAACGAAGTTTCTTCACGCTTAAAGTTTGATAAATCTTGGCCTTTATGAAACTTTGATTATCGTAATTTGTAGCATGAGAGTTGAATAAGACAGTCTGTCATTTTATCTTTCCAAATAACATGCAAAGGAAACCTGTACTTTCTCCCAAAGATCTCAACCTATGGCTGAAAAACTTTTGTGTTTCAGAGTCATATCCGTCATGACGATTCACGCCGTTTTGGAGTACATTTCAAAGTACATAGTCACGTTTCTTAGCAAGTTTCCATAATATTCAAAAGTTGCTTATCAGCAGAACAAGAGAATGTGATTTTTCAGTAACCACGCAACTCTAACTATTAGATAATAAATGAAAATAACAGTATCCTTAAAAAGAGTTTAGAATATGATATAACTTACTTTTTAATTAGAATCACAAATAACTTCAAATATGCATAATATCTGTAGAGAAAAACACTACAAATTTGTTATATGACGCTCAAAATCTAGTTGATAGAGCTGTTATTATAAGTTAAAGCAGGACATAAAATTACGTTTGCTCATTACTTTGTATAGAATATGAAAAAAAAAAATATTAGGTTAACGTATTTGGTTATCAAATTTTTTTGTGGCTGAATATTTGGGGTAATTATTTTTATTCACGTGGTAATAAGGTGGCAAAATTACTTTAAAAATTCATTTAATTAAGCTTTTATTTCTAATATAGTTCTTTGAAATTCTTCACAGTTACCAAATTTTCTTAAATTAAAATATATAAAATATTTCCAAATTGAAGAAATCTTGCTATAAAGGTGACATGGCCGAGTGGTCTAAGGCGCTGCGTTCAGGTCGCAGTCTCAGCAATGGGGCGTGAGTTCGAATCTCACTGTCACCAAAAAAAAGTCAAGGCTACATTTTTCTTAAATTAGATTTACTGTAAAGGTTTACACTTACGGACTTAAATTCGTCTTTAATTTTTTTTTTGTCTCTGAAATAGAAGAACCAGAGTTATTGATTATCAAAAAAGACAATTCCGAAAAATTACGAAATGAACTAACTTTATCTTAACATTTACAGAAAGCTTAATTACAGATCACATGACTTCAAATATGAACATATGATTATGGCTAATTATAATCATTGTATAACAATCTTTCGAACGTTACTTTTAATTTGTGGAATAATTTATAAAAAGCCCAGCTTTTCTTTGAAAAAAAAAAAAAAATAAATAATCACTTTTTCTTCTTTCTTTCTTTTTTTTTATTTTTTTTTTCCTATAAAAACCGTCATCCAACATAATGCCGAAAACCGGTGAAAAGAAAAACCTTTCAACACATTTCTTAGCAGGTGGAGGTGCTGGACTATGTGAGGCAGTATGTTGTCATCCCTTAGATACGATAAAAGTGAGGATGCAGTTGAGCAAGAAGGTAAGAACAAAAAAATTCCTTGGATTTTTAATGATCCGCACTTAAATCGACATTTTTTTTTTTTTCCATTAGAGTCCAAGGCCGGGCTTCATTACTGTTGCTTATAATATTGCTAAGAAAGAATCAATATTCGGCTTCTATAAGGGTCTTGGTGCTGTAGTAACAGGAATAGTACCGAAGATGGCTATTCGTTTTTCCAGTTTTGAGGCTTATAAGGGTTATTTAGCGAATAAGGAGACTGGCAAAGTTTCAACCTCTGCTACATTTTTTGGTATGTCATCACCATCTCCAGTGATCTAATCTATAATTGATGATTTGATCTACGTATGGAATCATGGATTATCGACGATCAGATCATCGTATATTAATCTTTAATCTTTGATCTTTTTCATATCACGGTTCTCTATTGATTATGCATAGCTGGTCTTGGAGCAGGCGTCACAGAAGCTGTGCTTGTTGTAACCCCAATGGATGTCATAAAAATCCGTCTGCAAGCCCAACGTCATTCAATGACTGATCCTTTAGACATTCCAAAGTATCGTAATGCAGCCCATGCCACATATACTATATTAAAGGAAGAAGGATTTCGAGCGCTGTATAAAGGTGTAACTTTAACAGCTCTTCGACAAGCCACAAATCAAGCTGTAAATTTCACTGTTTATCAGGAAATGAAAAAACAGATGAAAAAATTACAGAACACGAAAGATGGTCAAGAATTGCCAACCTATCAACATTTATTAATGGGTGGTATAAGTGGTGCTATGGGTAAACTCTTATTTTTTATGATTTTTTTTTTAGCAAAAACTTTTTTTTTTTTTCCTTACAAAAATTTTTTTTAGGACCTTTTGCAAATGCACCAATTGATACCATTAAGACTCGTATTCAGCGTTCAAGTAGCCATGAAAAAGGTTGGGCTAGATTCAAATCAGTGACTGTAGATCTCATCAAAAAAGAAGGTTATATGGCTTTGTATAAAGGTCTTCTCCCTCGTTTAATGCGTGTGGGTGTTGGTCAGGCCGTTACTTTCGCTTCATATGAGAAAATTAAGATCCTTATTGATGTAGTTTCGAAAAAGGGTTTGATTGGTGTTCTTGAAGATTCTATCTAGGAATAGAAGGATCATTATGAGCAGAAATCTTTGAAGAATAACGGAAAAAGTAAAAAATTACTAGATTTCTTATAACTAAATTAACCGAGGATAACGTAGATAATATCCGAAAGATTTAAATTATTGACATTAGACATATTGATAATATATTATAGTATGGCCGAAGTTATTACTTAATTATTATTCATACCATAAAATTATTTATTATTATTCTTATTGTTGTAGAAGTATATTAACTTATTTAAAGTAAGCCCTTTGAGAAATTATATCTCGAATACTTCAATATTTGATCAAATGAAAGTTAAAAAAAATCACAAATATAAATGATATGGTTAATATAGCCTTCTTTTTTAATAAAATAATATAGAAGTTGGCAATAATTACAAGTGAAAAAAACGCGTACATTGTTGGTAATATTTTAAAAACGTAAAATAAAGTAACATAACGTACCTAAACTTTCATTAGTTTCATACTAATAATTGTATAAAGTTAAAAGTGGTGTTGGGGTGTTGGAGTTGGAGTTTCATTTATTTTTAAATCACGTGCAGTAAACTAACTGATAACAATATTTGACTCGGTTCCTTTTTTTTTTTAAAAAAAAAATTTCCTTTAAAAGATTCATAGTGACAGATATTTACATACGAGATAAAAAAAAGTAATATAAATTTTATTCGATATCATATGAGATTATTACATAAAAATAAATACTTTCTTATTTAATTGTAAGAATATATTGTTTACAGAAGAAAAGTCAAGAATTAAGACTCTTTTCTTGTAATTTTGACTCGGGAAAGGTTATTTTATTACTCGCGATATTAGATTAACTAGTTACACGAAAATCATCTTACAGCATGAGTCCACAAGATCAGCACAAGCCACATAAAATATAGCTAATATGTAGTGAAAATAAATTATGAGCTAGACAAGTTTAGATGACTTTAATTGAACTGTCAAACTCGTTCGTATTTTTGGTTGGTCTTTAAAAGTTTAATATATTATCCTAATAAACTTATCGAACACGAAATTCTTAACTTTATACCTTCATTTTTACTCTGACGCGTAAAAACCGTCTAAAGGATGCGACGTGAAGTAAGAATTTTGCTTGTTGGGGACGGTATGTGTGATTCGATCTTATTTAAATGCTTTATCGAATTTTTACTCTATCGCTTATTTAATTTATGAAAATTAAGACGGCGTTGGAAAGAGCACATTGATAACGTCTCTTATTAGGGAAACTTTTGTCTCTGAGGTAAGTACTTCTATACTATAAATTTACACTTGGATTCTTTCCCATTTTAATGTGTACCACGATTCAATAGCTCCAACACGTCGTACCTGAAGTTACCATTCCACCTGAAGTTACTCCTGAAAATGTAACAACACATATTGTAGATTCATCTGGTGATTAATTCTTTGAATTATTATATAACTGGCTTATTTCTTAAATTCTAAATATGATTATCTCTTATGCAAAAAAAGCTCGATCAGACAATCGTGAACAATTGAAAACAGAAATTAAAAAGGCAAATGTAATATGCATCGTTTATGCGATAGATAACCCACATACATTTAATCGCCTGGCATCATTCTGGTTACCTTTTATAAGAAGTCTCGGTGTGAATGTGAGAAATCAGAAATGATAATTTTAAGATATAATAGAAATTGAAAGTGAATGATTTAACATACCTTTGAATTTCTGCTCAAAAAAAGGGCGATTTTGTTTACTAATTTAGATAAATTTACCCATCCATATACGGTATTACGCAGGTTCCAATTGTATTAGTAGGAAATAAAATCGACCTTCGAGGTGATCAAATTACCAACCAGTCATTAGAAGATGAAATAATACCCATCATGAATGACTTCAAGGTAAATTCTTATTTTTATTGTTAGTGTAAAAAATTAAATTATTTGATTGATTTATAATTAAATAATAATAATCATTGACATTATTTTTAGGAAGTAGAAACATGTGTAGAATGTTCGGCAAAGCAACCATTGAATGTTTCAGAAGTTTTTTATTTTGCACAAAAGGCTGTATTACATCCAACTGCGCCTTTGTATGATTCTCGGGAACATGTATGTATTTAAATAATATTTATTCTTTTTTTATAAATTATGTTTATAAATTATGTTGATTTATTGTAGGTATTAAAACCAGCTTGTATTGAAGCTCTCAAAAGGATCTTTAATTTATGTGATCGTGACAAGGATGGAGTGCTTAATGATGATGAGTTGAATGAATTTCAGGTTATTATTTATAGATTTGTTCAAAATTTATGATTATTATTTAAAGTTTGGTCTAAAGGTTTTATTAAATCTTATTATCAGCGAAAATGTTTCAATGCACCATTACAACAACAAGAACTTGAAGGAGTTAAAGAAGTTGTGAAAGAACATGAACCAGCTGGTGTTGATGATGTAGGATTAACAGAACTAGGTTTTTTATTTCTTCATACTCTCTTTATACAACGTGGACGGCTTGAAACTACATGGACTGTTTTAAGGAAATTCGGTTATGGTGATGATCTGTCATTAAGGGAGGATTTTCTTTATCCTTCGTAATTATCTCATTTAATTTTACTTATTCCTTGTTATTTATATATTCTGTGTTAATGTGAAATTAATGATAGCATCATTTTATTTAGGTTTGAGGTTCCACATGATTGTTCAGTTGAATTAAGCCCTTTAGGGTATGAATTCTTTACGGAAATATTTCAAGTTTTTGACAAAGTAATTCTTTAGAATGTATTACTATAATATTTATTGGATTTGAAGATGTTAATGAATTTAACTTATAATTTATTGATTTTGGAAATAAGGATAAGGATGGTGCTTTGAAGGAAAGTGAATTAGCTCAATTGTTTAGTACTTCACCTGGAGATCCATGGGCAAATTCAGATTTTCCCCACACTACAATTACGAACGACGCAGGAGCTGTTACTTTACAAGGATGGTTGGCACAATGGAGGTATTATGCTCAATATATATATATATATATATATATATTACTTATAGTTTGTGTCTAATCTTTTTTGTTTAAATTTATTTTATGATAAAAAGTATGACAACACTTCTTGATTATAAGACGACGTTATCATATCTAGCTTATTTGGGATTTGAGGATGATACACGAATGGCTTTAAAAGTTACAAGACCAAGGAAAGCTGACAGGAAACGAAATAAAGTGCAACGTAATGTTTTTTTAGCATATGTATTTGGTGCAGCCGGTTCTGGTAAGGTAAGGTAGCAACATTAAAATGTGGAGATTTATATATTTAAACTGCCTACTAAAATCTATTATTTATTAGACTTCCTTATTAAAAGCTTTCGTTAATAAGCCATATACAAATGGTTATACACCTACTACAAGACCATTCTGTGCGGTGAACTCTGTTGAGATTAAAGGCGCGGAAAAATATTTAGTGGTATGTTTAATAACATATATGATATTGTTTTTGATTACTAGAAAAATATTTATTTATTTATTTTTAGTTACAAGAGTTTGGTTCTAAATATGAGGCAGAAATACTTCAGAATAAACGTAAAATGGAAGCTTGTGATTTGCTATGTTTTGTATTTGATTCTAGTGATGTAAACTCGTTCTCATATATTGTAGAACTTCGGGTTAGTATAGATAAGTATCTAATATTCGATTATTATTACACGTATATTAATGTATTATTGTTAAAATGTCTAGAAGCGACACAATTTAGATAATTATCCTACGGTATTTGTTGCTACAAAGAGCGATTCCGATTTAGTTCAACAGGTTTGTTATATAATTTTTTTTTTTACTATATGCTCATTTATTTATTTATTTATTTATTTTATCTTTAATTATTTAGCGTAATGAAGTCCAGCCTGATGTATATTGCCATGACCTCGGTTTATCTGGTCCTGTTAGCGTTTCCGTAAAGAATCATCAAACAGCAGACTTGTGGAACCATTTAGTAGGAGTAGCAATTAATCCAGTTCCTGCTACACCAGGGCTTGCAGGTTCAGCACACGAATCTTCTAAGGTTAAGAAATATTTGACTTTTACAGCAGTTATGGGAGCATTAGGAGGAGCTGCCTTTTTAGGGTATAGGTTATACCAACAGCAACGGGGATTTGGGAATATATCAAAGCGGGATATACTATAGATTTATTTTTTTTCCTTTTTTATTGTATAAAATGGCCTATAAAATAAGCATGAATTTACAACAAAAAGTAGATAATCTTGTTTTATTATCATTTATATCAAACTTGAACTTTTTTTAGTTCCTGCTATTATTAGATATTAGTAAAGTACATTAAAAAAAATATAAAAATTAAAATCTCAAACAGACTAATTTCGCAGAAATTGATTTTGTGTAACCTATGGGGATGATCAGATGACGCGGAGCTGATATAACTTGCTCCCCGCAGAATATGATATAACGTAAATTTTTTTCCCTTGGCTTGCAAAACGCAGAAATTATCTTTTTTTTTTATTTTACAATATAACCCACAAAACGTGCGATGTTTAAAAATCCAAATCAGTTTGAAGACGACGTTAGTAAGTATTGATAAAGTAGAAATTCCTATGAAGTTCGTATATGCTTATGTTAATTCCGGCTTAACTTGTTTATAGTTGCTGCTACCAATGAGACTCTCACTAAGGAAAACTGGGAACTTATAACTACATTATGTGAAAAGGTTGAGCAAGGTGGAGAGCAAGGGTAAGGGTGTATATTTTATTCTTTATATCTCGTTAACAAAGATTAATAACTTTATATTATTAGTGCTCGCGACTGTGTAGCTGCAATTCAAAAACGTTTGCTTCATAGAAACCCCAATGTTCAAGGCTATGCTTTAACGGTAAGTCAAATCGGTACTTAGATTTTTTTTGCATTGTTTTGATCTAATTTTTGTTATTTTTATCTTGAGATAGCTATCCAATTCCCTTGTCAAAATGTGTAGTATTAACGTGCATAAGGAGATATCTTCTCGTGCGTTTACACAAACTTTGACTCGTATATTACAGGACAAGGTTAGCAAAATTTGTAGTTCTTCATTAGATAAAAAAATTTTCTTATATATTAATTGTATAGTTAATTACAGAGTACACATGGGACTGTAAAAGATCGAATACTTGATTTAATTCAAGAATGGAGCAATGAATTCCGTTCAGACGATACCTTGAGCCTTATGGAAGAGACTATGAATAATTTGCGATCACAAGGTTAAATTATGATTTTTTAGTGTAAATGTTGCGATTAATAATCACTTATTATTGAATAAATTTTTTCTTTTTAGGCTTTCATTTCCCTTCACCAGAAAAACCCAAAAAGGAATTAAGCGAAGTATGTGTTTTGACACAACCTTTTCTTATAAATTTGATGTGAATATTTTATGGCTATTAACCTCAATAATTATTGGTAGTATGAACTTGAAAAACAAAAGAAAGAGGAGGAAGAACAGGTCCAATTGGCTATGGCAATTTCCCTTTCTGAAAGAAGTGGATCACGAAATGTTAGTCTTTTATATGACCCTTTTGTTATTTTTAAATTCAAATTAACATATGTTGATTTTTCACAGAATACCACAGCCTCTTTCACCACCACCTCCACCACCACCATCGCAACCCCGTCTGAGCCTGCATCACAAGTATGTTCGCGTAATTTATAAATGTTTTGTTCCAAGAAAATTATAATTAATTTTTATTAATTTCAGAATAAGGATTTACCCCATACACCCAGCGTCTCTAAAGTCAAAGCACTATATGATTTTGTTCCTACAGAATCGGGCGAACTTGGTTTTTCCCGCGGTGATGTTATTACAGTTTTAGATAGTGTATATAAGGATTGGTGGCGTGGAGAGCTACATGGTAAAACGGGTATATTTCCCGTTAATTATGTGGTAAGCAAAAAATCATAAATTAGAGATATATATGTATATAATTTTTTTATTCTTAAAAAATTTATTAAATGATTTTTACAGGAAAAGCTTCCAGAACCAACCGCTGCAGACATTGCGAGAGAGGCAGAATTGGAAGCAGCCATTTTTGCCGAGGGACGAAATATTGATCAATTATTAGAAATGTTGGCAGGACTTGATCCCACAAGAGATAGTGTCACAGAGAACGAAGTTATTCAGGTTTTATTTTAATTTTTTACATGGAACTTAATCTAGCTGACAATTACATGTTCTGATTAATATTTTTGGAAATTTACACAGAATTTATATAACAATACGTTACCAGTTCGGCCAAAATTAATGAAATTAATCGAGAAATATAGTCAAAAGAAAGGTATGATTTAATAAAATGGGCTTATGAAATTCTTTAATATATATTTACAATAAGTATTTGTTTCTTTTTAGATGACCTCATCGCATTAAATAAAAAATTCATAGAGGCTACTAAAACATATGACAGACTTATGGCTGAGTCATTAAAAAAATATGACGGTGAGTACTTATATTAAATTCATGTTTGTAATTAATTTAGTTAGTTTCAATAATTTCAATGTTACTAAACTGAATAACTTTGCATTTAGCATATATCAACCCAACGCCTGCCCCACCTCAATTTAATTTTCCACCAGTGACAACCGGTTATACACCTGCTCAGAATTATCCTGTTGGATATGACTCTGCTGCCGCGTATGGCTATTATAACCCGCAACAACATTTCAATCAGATACAACAACCTGCTTATCAAGCACCACACCATCCTCAACAATATCCTCCTCAAATTCAACAGGAAGTTGTGGGACATCTTAATGCTTATCAACAATCACAATTTCAACCCCAACAGGACAATGGAATAAGTCAACAACAACAGCCTGCCTATCAGGCAACACAGCATCCTCAACAATATCCTCCCCAAGTTCAACAGGAAGTTGTGGGGCAACATGGTGCTTACCAACAATCACAAGCACAATCACAAGCACAATATCCTCCCGCTCAACCTCAAAAGGATAATGAAAAACATCAACAGCAACCTACTTACCAAACACCGCATCCTCAACAATATACTTCTCAAATTCAACAGGATGCTATGGGACAATTCAGTGCCTACCAAGCAAATCAGCAGCAAAATCAACAATCATCTAATTATTCGACACAGCAGGTACCGTTATATCCACCTCAAGTTCAACAGGATGCAAGTACTTATCAACAGTTGCACCAACAACAAGAAGCACAACAGTCACAGCAACAAATCCCTCCGAATTTTTCTACCTCAGATAATAATATGCTAAATCCAACTATACAACCTCAACAACCTCAACAACCTCAACAACCACAGCAACAACAGCCTCAACAACTACAGCAACAACAGCCTCAACAACTACAGCAACAACAGCCTCAACAACTACAGCAACAACAGCCTCAACAACTACAGCAACAACAGCCTCAACAATTACAGCAGCAACAGCCTCAACAACTACAGCAACAACATCAGCAGCAACAGCAACCATACTCTCAGCCACCAATTCAATACTTATCACTGGACGGGTCTGGTGGCTATCAATCCCAACCTTCAACTTCTAATACTCAACCTCCAAATTCCACTAATAGCAATAATATGTACTCAAGTAATAATGATATTACCCAATATCCACCACCTACTACAGATCAACAACTACCACAAATACATCCTTCCTCACAACAACCAATATCATTAGCACAAATATCACAGCATATTCAAGCACAATCAAATTTCCCTCCTACACAGCAGCAACAACAATATCAACAACAAAATCCATACTTTAATCAGCCAGATGAATTACAAGTACCACAAGGTGCATCAGCTTCCTACAGTACTCCCGTTAATGTCAACATGTAATATGAATATTGAGTTGGTATTAGTAGTAGTTTTTGAATAGTTATTTAATTATTTATTGTATCATTGGAGGAAATTAAATACATTTTCAAAGACATTGAATCGAAAATTATTAAATAAAATTTTATAAAACGTATTTGGTTATTATTTATCTGAATTATTTTTTTTTATTCTATCTTATTATTTTTTTGTAATTTGAGTTTTCATGTATTTTTTTGTATTTGTTCTTTTTAGAAATTTTAGAGTAATTTTTAGAAAGCAATTGTTATTATATTCATTAAATAATTAAAATAAATTCGAAATTACAAATTTCTTAAAAATGAGAGTTTATTTAAAAATAATTTCTCATATTGCTTAATTATATTTGAAATAAAAAGTTCTCGTTCTACAAAAGGAACATATTTAATCTAATATTCTATAGGACTCGCGAATGAAATTCTAATAAATGCTTATTGTAATACGCGAAACAAAATTACATATAATTTATAAAAATAAATAAATTCAATTTGCGCACAGATGCTCGATTATTTTCATTACAATAAAATAAAATATAAACAATACCTTTTTACTTGTCTGATGAGAATTTTATTTATATTTTGGTAATTCAAAATCAGATTTAAACTGCTCTAGGAAGGGAGTTAATGGACTTTCTGATAGTATCGAAAACTTTTGAGGTGGTGTCGGAGTTTCGGTCAGAAATGACGAGAACCTATTGGCTCTGCTTTTCCTTGATCCACTTTAAATTATAAAAGTAGGTTAGTATCATTTTAATAATAAAAAATATTACAATAAACAGCAATAAAAATAATAAAATATATTTACGGCGTTGGATGAAGTGCCTTCCACGCTCTTTTTTCTTGTTCAAATTCGATTCGTTCTGTCTGTTAAATTTATATATTATATAAAATATATGAAAATGAAATGATTTAAATTAAAAAAAAAAAAAAAGATATACCAATAATTGATCTCTATCTCTTCCTAATCGGATAAGCGATTCTGTAAATGCTCTTCTTTCATGATTAAGTTGTTTACGCTTCAATTGTAAATCTTCTTCAAGCTCATCGTATTCGGGTATAGTGATTTCGTTTCTATTTAATCATAATCTTTTTTATTAATAATTTACAGCTTTATCAAACACTTATCTTAATAACGTACCCAGACACGTTTAACTTGAATTCCCCTTGACCTTCTTTAAAGCCGCTCTCCGCAAAATTAGCAATCATTTTCTGGGCTTCTTCCACAAACGTAGCAGCCTCGACTGATATCACAATAGGTATAAGTTGTGTTACAAGTTGTTAGCATATTCGAAATAATCAATTATTAAATTTTATCTACCGAGTTGATTTCTTAATGAGTCTACTTCCAGCTGTAGTTGCCGATTTTCTTCTTCTATTGTTTCTATTTCCAACTGTAGTTGCTGATTTTCTTCTTCTTTTGTTTCTACTTCCATCTGTAGTTGCCGATTTTTTTCTTCTTTTGTTTCTACTTCCATCTGTAGTTGCCGATTTTCTCCTTCTTTTGTTTCTACTTCCATCTGTAGTTGCCGATTTTCTTCTTCTTTTGTTTCTGCTTCCATCTGTAGTTGCCGACTTTTTTTTTCTTTTGTTTCTTTTTTTGTTTCTACTTCCATCCGTAGTTGCCGATTTTCTTCTTCCTTAGTTTCTATTTCCATCTGTAGTTGCCGATTTTCTTCTTCTTTTGTTTCTATTTCCATCTGTAATTGCCGATTTTCTTCTTCTTTTGTTTCATATTCAGTTATCATATTTGGACGGTTATTCCATTCATGTTTTAATGCTAAAAGCAATTCTTTGATTTCCTCTTCGACATTGTTTGCAAACATTTCGAAAGGAAGATTAAATCTAGCGGTCTTTGGATTATACGAATCCGGTGTCTTTTTTTAATTAAATAATAAAATAATAAATGTAATGATTTCGTATTTTTATTTCAATAATATTTAGCTCATACTTGTAAATCTATCAACGCCGAGTCTATCGTAGCTTCATGCTCTGCTTGTGATTCTATAAATGTGCTGATATGATTTTGAACGTCAAAGAGTAATTTCCGCAACTTGGAATTCTCTTGTAATAATTCCTTTTCGCGAGCCTCTGCATCAGCAACTATTTGCTTAAACATTTCAGCATCCTAATATGTATTTAAAATTTTTTAGTAAACCGTCAAATATTTTCATCAATTAATATAATAACTTACAACAGGACTTTCTTCCTCTTCAGCTTCGGAGGCACCGGTTTTTATTGGTAAACCATGTTCAATATTAGATGCATTTGAAAGAAGTTTTGAGGGTTTTGGGGCAGGATTTACAATTTGTAATCCTATCTTTGCCTTCCTATAGCTATCATTAAGCAGTTTTTGCATTTTTTCTCTAAATCTGGTATATTCCATCTCGCGTTTTTTGACATCATGCTACAAAATTGTAATTAAAAAAAAAAAAATAATAATAAAATCATTAAAAGAAAATATACCCACAAGACGCGTCATTAATTTAGACATGCAAATATTTCAATGCTCTATATCCTTCTATCATAAAAACTTATATTCACGTCAAATTAACGACGCATTTCAAGACTTATGAGATTGACTCCATAGTTCAGTCATATAACCTACTGCAGCTTGTGTCTTAGTATACTGTAGGTTTGACTTCGTCTTTGCTAATTCATCTCTGGTCAATTTGTGCATCTCCCACTCATCTTTCAATTCATCTTCCATCTTTCTATTGAAACGAATTACGACATTTTAATATAATAATAAACCGTGTTCAAAATTAAACAAAATTTTACATACATTAATCTTAATGTCAATTTGTTAATTTCTCGTTCATTAACCTCAATCTTGCCCTTTAATCCTTTCTAAAATTAATAAAAATATTTAAGTAATTATTGTCACGTGATATCAACTTTTACGCGTATCATCTTACATTGCTTAAACAAGCTATATCATAATCACTTTGCAACCTTCGATGTCTATCATCTAATTCCTCTCGAACTCCAAATTCTCTCTGATGATCTTGTAATAAAGAAAGCACACATTCAACTATCTTTTTAACAGAATTATCATCTTTACTATCGAAAAAATTTAAAGGCGCGGGATATCCAAAAAAATCTAATTTTTGATTCACATATATAATTAATTCCCTTAAACTGTCCTTCCTATCAATGTAATAAATAAATCATGTTAAGAACAATCTGGAGTTCTAAAGTTAAATAAAGAAACTAACCTTTCTTCTCTACCTCTGCTTTTACGTGATGATAAAGGCGAAATTGGTTTCAGAATTTCGTCCATGCCGTTTCCGTTCATTTTCTTTATAAAATAATGTTTAGCTGACTTAAGATAAAAACACGGAAGTTAACTATGGAAATAAGCGTATACAAAATTACAAAGCTATGAAACGCGTACGAGTGTTACGAGCGTTTATATAGGCAGCATATGTTACACATACATCACATACATCTGTTTTCGCGTTTTTTTTTTCTCACAAAATTTCGTTATAATTATTTTTCAATTAATTAAGTAAATAAGAAGTATTAAGTATTTAAGTTAAAAACGTAACAGTATAAAAGGGTGTAAAGGGTGGACAATAAATAAAGCAACGTTTATTGATATTTCCGTAAATCACCCTATTTAAATGGAGAAATCAAATCAAGTCACGTGAACTAGCTGATTTGCATCTTTTTAATCGTTTTTTTTTTCACGCACTTTTAGTCAGAAAAATGAGCAACAATAAATCGCTTCTAACTCCTTCGCCTTTAAATCCTACTTTTCGACCTGATGTTATACAATCATTAATCGATGGGGTCGATAGATATAACCCTGATAATGTATCAATTCTCGAAGAATATTTAAGTACACAACTTCAAAATGAAGAATATGATTTGATGGCGAATTTAGCGATACTGAAATTGTAAGTTTAAAAAAAAAGAGAGATATTTTATTTTTCGAATTCTAATTAATAGGATTTGAATGTATTATAAAGATACATATTAAAAAAAAAAATGATGTTTAAGTTTTTCTTTGAACTCAATTAAAAAAAATTTTCGTAATTTTGAGTACTGAAGTAGTTGTAACTTGCCCTCACTGATTTTTAAAAATTTTATACTTTAAATAAAATTGATTTCTTTCAGAATATGTATCTTAATAATTAATTGTTAATGTTAGGTATCAATTTAATCCCCATCTTGTCAACGATGTGGTCATCAGCAATATTCTCGTTAAAGCTCTTACGGCTATACCAAATCCAGATTTCAATCTATGTTTGTATTTATTACAAGAGGGATCTGTATCCTTTTTATCGATTGTTCTTAAAAAAATGAAAATGAAAAAAAAGAAACCTGAAAAAAATTTGATTATCTTTAATTTTTTTTTTTTTCCTCTCAATTTTACATAGCTTAGTGATGACAATGTTTCAAAATTAATTTTGTTACAACAGTTATTGGAGGAAGCTAGATATCAAGAATTTTGGGAAGTATATGAAAAAGATGATACATACAAAGATCTCTCAATGGAAGCTGTTGGCTTTGATACAGCGATTCGTAAAGGTTAATATCTTTTAGTAATATGATTATTAAAATAATTTTATTATTAAAATTTATTTTTTGCATAAATTAGTTATATTGACGGCTATTTGTATGGCATATCAAACTATTTCGGTAGATTTGTTACGAACATATCTTAATTATCCAAAGGGTTGGTTACAATTATTTATAGATTCTATTTTTCAAAAATTGTAAATTTTTTTTCTAAATTTTTTTTGTTTTTTTCAAAAACGATCGTAATAATTTAGGTGATACCAAATTTGAAACTTTTATTCAATCTCAAGGACTTACAACAAAAGACGATGTTATCATTATTAATACAAATTATGATAATGAAGCAAAACCTACAGTAATAAGAGAAAATATCAAATTCGAACGTATGTTATCTACAAATGTATTTATAATCGTATATTTATTTTTTTATTAAATTTATTACTTTCTATTTCACGAATTATTAGAACTCACAAAAGTCATTGGATATTCTAATGAGTTATAAGGTAATTCGTTTTATAATTGTAATAATACATCAATAATAATACAGATCTTACTTTGATTTAATTGATTTAATTTGAATAAAAAAAATATTTAGTTGTTTAATAGAAATTTGTTAATTTTTTGTAATATGAGAATGCTGATATTTAAGAACTAAATAAATTAAGCTGTAAAGTATATGTACAGTGCTACTAAAAAATACTTAATAAATTAACCAACTGTATTAATATGCAGAATATTGATTTCTTCTATTATTTCGTTTACGTCTTCCATTTTCCTTTTCTTCAGAATTTTTGATCAAAATATACAAGATTCTGACGAAAATAGCAATAAGGTCAATAAAAAGTTCAAGGGTATGGCGAACAACGTCACGAGAACCGAGCGTGGCTCGATAAACGATAAGTTGGGTGTCGTAGATAACTATAAAGGAAATAAATTTGTTAGAATAAATAAATAAAAAAGTAAATAAATAAAATTATTAATCTATTTATACCATAACCACAGAAAACAAACAATCCAAGATAAAGCTCCGCAGTATATAATAATTTTGAGCCAATAAATGCGTTAAAAAATGCCATCCAGAACAACATGCTAACGGCAGAAGCCAATATTCCACCAAGGTATATAAAAGTTCTTTTATTACTTAATAAAGAACTCAAGGAGAAAGATCCAAAAATCAAGGAAGTAAACGTGGTTGCCAATAATACAATCTGACCACTAAAATGCATAATATTGTTAGTTTAAAACTTACAAATCTACAATAAATAAATTCTTGCTATGCTTACGAGGAATTAATATTAAGTGCATGATCAATCAACGGGCCAATAGATAATCCTTCCATGAAGGCAAAGTTCTATATCAAAAGCATTAAAAATTGTGTTTTAATAAAACTGTATGATAAAATATCGAAGAAAAATGTAGAATTCTTACGAATAAAAGACCGTAACGTATGTTTTTATTATTGGGTGTGTCAGGAAGAAACGAGATTCCTATCAACGAGACAAGACCTACTAAAAATGAAAGTAACCCGCCCTATGAAAGTTTTTATAAAAGATATTCAGTACGCTAAGAAAAATATATTAAATAATACCCTTTAAAAGAAAATAACACATACTCCAAATAAGAAGAGACCCGTAATGTGAGCATATGATCCAGCAGCAGTGAGTAAACAAAGAACTGCAAGCGTCGAATAAACTTTGATTAAATGCTGCTGTATAGGTTTAGTGAGATCGCTCACATTTTTAAAAGCTTCAAAAGTCGAAAAGTTGTTTCGATCTCCAAAAGTCGAACCAAAAGTAGACATTTTTCTAAATTATGTGTGATAAAAAGTTGATAAAAAGAAAAAGAAACCGGATATAAACGTATTTTATATTCTTTTAACTTATGAATTACGTAATTTTAATTGAAAAGTGGTACGATCTAATTGGCTGTGATTTCTCTTAATAACAATATATATTCGAGAAATTTCTGGCAAAGCCATCGACCATAAAATGAAATCCACTTGGCAAAAATTTCAAGTACGATATTCATCATCACCTTCTTCAAAAAGATGGATAGCACGACAGGATCGGGATCAGTTTGTTAAAAAAGCACTGTCTCAAAATTATCGTAAATAAATCATTATTTTTATTAGTATTAAATTTTATAAATGAGTTTTTTTAGAACTTCAATAGTATTTTTTTTCAATAAAAAGGAGCCCGGAGTGCATTCAAGTTATTGGAATTGGATCAAAAGTACAATTTTATTAAACCAGGTTCAGTCTTTATCGACTGTGGCGCAGCTCCTGGTGGTTGGAGTCAAGTTGTTTCTAGAAAAGTTTTACCGGAATTCGATACAACTACTGAAGAAATAAAAGATTTTGAGACAAAATTAAACGGGAACTTAATTATTGCTGTTGATTTGTTAACTATCGAGCCGATTCCTGGTGTAAATGTTATACAAGGGGATTTCACTCATATATCGACACAACAAAAGGTAAAAGAATTATTGAAAGAAAGAGAAGCAGATGTAATTTTAAGCGATATGGCACCAAACTTTTCTGGGCAGCGTTTTATTGATCATGTTAAATCAATGGTAAATAATTCACATTATTTAGACAATGATTAAATAGGAGGGACTTATCAACTATCGGACTTGGATAAAAAAAATTTTATTTTTTTTTCTTCTGCTTCAGGAATTATGTGAATTTTCTCTGAATTTTGCTGAACGAGTATTAAAATCAGGAGGCACCTTCTTGTGCAAGGTATGATGTCTTGAAAATTAATATACATTATTTATCTTTGTAACACATCTAAAAGAAATTTCCATTCTTTTTCAAAAAGTTCTTAATGGGAGAGTCCGATCATGAATTTAGAAATAATTTAAAGACTAAATTTGACATTGTTCGTCATGAAAAACCACAGGCTGTACGCAAAAAATCGACAGAAGGATATTTTATGTGCTTAGGTTATAAAAAAAATAAATAATTTCTCTACTATTAATAAATTAATAAATGTTCATGATACCACATCGCCTTATTTAAATTCAAAGCTCAAACAAATAAAACTAATAAACATATACAGTAGTTGTATTATGTTCATCATATTGACTCAATTTTACTAATATTATTGTTTCTCAATCACGAAAAACTTGATCCCATTTATAGGCAATATACTAAAAAGATAATGATTTTTAAGCTTCCAATATATAATTAAAAAATAAATTAGGAATATTTTTATTATTGAACCTACCTCTCCAAAGCACGTATCTTTTTTATCATACCTTCGTGCTTTAGCATTGCTCTCTTTACAATGTGCAGTCTGGTCTTTAAAAATACTCAATTCTTTTTTACTAAGATCAAATTCTTCTTCCTCATTATTACCAATTAAAGGAATTTTCGCGTCATAACTAGGATAATAAAATAAGACTGCTGAATATCTTTCATTTGTCCCATCATTTATAACACGATGTAAAGGCGAGATATATTTTCCGTGAGTAATTAAAGAAAGATAGTCGCCACAGTTGACAACAATCGATGCTGGTTTACTAGGAACATCACACCATTGATTATCATAAAATATTTGAAGTCCTTGTGAGTTATCTAATTGTAGTACTAAAGTCAAAAATCCCCAATCCGTATGAGGAGAACTTCCAATTCTCTCATTCTCACATTTAATATTATCAATCTCTTTATAAGGAAGATATTTAAATAATCTCAAAAGGGAAATAGTTTCTCCACCAACACAATGTTGTTTTAATTCAATATTCAACGCTAACTCTAAACTTCTAACGACTAATTCCGATAACAAAATGACTTTATTATAATATTGATTTAATGTTATTCTCCATTCTCTACCTAAAATATTTTCTAAATTTCCCCATTCATTTGGTCCTTGCAATAAATTTTCGAATTTCGTTTTGTTATTTTCCCATTCATAACCATATGAAAATGCTTCTTTAACTTCTAACAACTGCGAACCGGATTCGCCTCCCATTCCAATATATCCACGTGTAAACCCACCTGATTTTATCGGAATTGATGATTTTATATTAGAGGGTAATGAAAAAAATTGCTGACATGCTTCTTTAAGCAGTGTTTGATCTATAGCATTAAAAGAAGAACAAGTTATGTAAAATACACCATATTTTGTACATGCGATTTGAATTTCGTTTGCAATTCGGTTCAAGTCAGCCTTAGAGGGAGAAGGAGTTTCTAAAGCTGAGAGATCTATTACGGGAAGTGAAATTGGTTTATAACTTGAATTAGGCATAACTTTTTTTTTTTAAAAAAAAAAAAAAAAATATTTCAAAACAAAGATTCAAAATAGAAACATTTTATACGTACAAATCTAAGTATAATCCATGTGTGACGTGTTTTGTCAGCCCTGAATATTAGCACGAAAACTTTATTTTTTAAAAATATTCAAACTCATAAACTAAAATACAAAGGGAAAATGCAAGAGCATCATATATAATGAGTTTACGATATTTATACTATATAAAATTAACTAGGTTCAAAAAGGCTAAGGTTTGAATTAGTAAGCAAAATATCGGAAAAAATTGTGGGTATTGTAGAGCACAATATTAAGGAATCGCCTAACCCCCTGATTACACGATACACGATAGTACAACATCTTGCGGAATTCATTTTTCTTACTTTTTTTAGATACTAATAAAGTATAAGTTTACAGGAGCACGACTACAGCATAAATCTTTCCGGCTAATTTCATTAATTACAGGAATATTGTTTGAAATCGAGTATTCATTTAAATTTATTCGAATAATATTAGAATAAATTAAATTTCCTTTATAGTAATAATTTACATAAATTTGGCCTGAATTAATGGTTTTTAATTCAGTTAAAATGAAGAATTTTAACATCCAATTAGAATTTAACTATACTATATCTGGCTAAACGACACTAGCTGATGTTGCTTTATTTATAATTCTGGTGAACCAAATTTTACCTTTTAATATTATTTAAATTCTTTATTTAAATCTTAAAATCTTTAAATATTATTAATTAATAAAGTATACTAAATATAATATTAACTGTTAATCTAATATATTATTATGTAATTTGTTATTCTTTAAGGGTTTAAGTTATATATGTTGTAAATAATATCAAAAAATTTTAATTTATTATTTAATTAAAATTTATTAATATTTTTTACTTTATAGATGTTTTTGTAAAAATTATTATATTGATTTACTTATATTATATACATTTATACATAATATTTTTCCTAAAATAATTTAAGCATAGCAAAATTAAAAACAATTTAATTATGCAGTGTCATATTAAAAAAAAATGGACTAATTATGACTATATTTTGAAGGTACTAAGCAATTTTAATTAGTATCTTATTTACCAGTTTGTATTAAAAAATTGGTTAATTTTAATATACTAACTGTAAAAATTTATCATCATATGTGTATTTTCACAAAATTTCGTAATTGTTTGATTACCTTTTTGTAGGTCGGAAAATTCGGGTCATACAAAAATTTATTCACCAGAACAATCAGAAATGAATTGTCTCATTATAAGCCCATTATGGATTTTTTATGTCCCCTACTCCCCTTATTTGTCATCAACTTGGTGAATATATTTATCTAATTTACTAATTTAACTATTCATCCAATCAAAATCCGGAGGATCTCCACACAATATTAATATGGGAAAATTCATGATTGGATATTTATAGATTTACACTGAATAAACTGCGGAAAAAATTCATACAAGCTTAAAAGATGGGGTTTTGGGGGAATTAGTTAATATCACATGTGAATAATTACTTCATGTCTTATCTTTGAATCTCCGTTGAGAACAAAAACGGTTCGTTTTTTACCCCAAAAACTGAATAAAATTCTGAAACGTGCGTAAAGATGATGTGGAAAATTAAACAAATAAATTAGTAATGTATTGACTTTTTTGATGAAAAGGCCGTCATTCATATAGTACTTTTTATTGTGTATTAATTTGTTACTTTGTTTTATACCAAAATTTCGTGTTTTATTATATAAATAGCTCTTGTAACTATTTAATTTCTATTAAATACGCACACTTAGTGTTTTTCTTATTGAATTCGCACGCTTAGTGTTTTTCTTTATTGAATTCGCACGCTTAGTGTTTTTCTTTGTTGAATTCGCACGTTTTAAGTGTTTTTTCTTTCGAGAAACTATTAATTTGTGGATTCTTATAAAATAAAAATATTATATTTCTTTTATTAGTTCTTACCTTTATTTGTCATAATTTCAAAAAAACTCTACGATAATGCCATTTGGAATAGCATATGATGTAATTTGCACTTTGTCACGTTGGTGTATTTATGGTTTCTATAGAGAAATTATAACAATTGGATATGAAAATGTACCAAAAGAAGGTCCAGTTATTGCTTGTTCTACACATCAGTATGTTATCTACCAAAAAACTTTTAAAAATTCATTTTTTAATTAATTAATTATTAACGACTATTTTATGATTTTAGTAACATGATCGTCGATCCAGCAGTATTGGCAAACACATTTCCTCATAAGAGACGATTACATTTCTGGGCGAAAAATTCATTATTTGGAAATAAGTATTTTAATCTCGTTTTAGCTAGCGGTGGAGTTGTTCCTGTTGATAGGACAACAAAGAACAATAAAGCATTATTTTCTGCCACTTTTGAAGTTTTAAAACTCGGTGAAGTTGTCGCCTTGTTTCCGGAAGGTGCGTGTATTATATATGTATATTTGTTTAATAATTAAAGATATATGCGATATATTAATAAAAAATTGATTTTCTTAGGAACATCACATTCACAATCACGATTGTTAGAATTAAAGGATGGTGCTTCTTGGGCTGCATTGGAATATGCCGCTCTCGTATCAGATCTTGAGTCAAAGAGTGGGGACATCAAAAAACAATCGGATATTCCCGAGATGGCTGCAATCATTCCTGTTGGACTTATTTATGTTCAAAAATCAAAATATAGGAGTAGTGTTATTGCTACGTAAGTAAATTGAGATAATTCTCTTATTCCTGAATTCTCTCAATTCTAATTTCTGATTTTGTTAAAAGATACGGTTCACCTATACATGTTGAATCATATCTTGAAGATTTCAAAAAGGATGGCCGGTCTACCGTCAAACGATTGACTAAACATATTGAGGCTGAAATGGAAAAATTAACTATAAATGCGCATGATTGGTAAGTATCACACAAAACGAATTAATAATCGTGTATTAGATACGTGATGCTACAGTTATTCATAATCATTAATTTAATATAAATAGGGAAACTTCTAATGCAGCAACAATGGCTAGGCGGCTTTTATTTTCAGTTGATAAACGCGTACCACTTGAAGATTATGTAAAGATAACACAAAGGTAATAATTTAAGTATAATTTAAACATCAAATATACAATTATTAACTTGATAATTTTTTTTGATCTCTTTTAGTTTGATAAATTTTTTCACAAATTCGACCTCCGAGGAAATAATATCTTTGAAAAACAATTTAAATCAATACAAAACCTCATTGGATGAACTTCGATTATTCGACACGGATATTGCACGTTATGAAAATCGTAGTCTTACAATTCCATGGGCACTATACACATTCTCATGTGAATTTGTAAAATTTGTTGCTCAATTACCGTTTTTCTTACCAGGATTATGTTTTCATTGGCCAATATATGTATTGGGTACATTATCAGCAAAATATGAAAAATATGAAGAATCAAGAGCACAAAATAAAATAGCATTAGGATTGGTATGGTTAATGATAGCTTATACAGTATTATTCTTTGTTATTTGGACAACAATGTTTTTTACTCCTTTGGGATTTTTGCTTGCTGCCAGTGCTGTATTTATTTTTGCTTGGTATCATATCGCACTTGTTGATAGGTAAGTTAAAATGTGCAATTTTTCAGTTTACTTTATTAATTACTAAAATAATTTCTCTTTACCTTAGTCATTATGATGCATTCAAGGAACTTGTATCATCTTTCAGATTACTCGCAGCTTTATGTGGTGGAAAAGGGAGTTTACCAAGAGATCAAGTGGAAAATTTAGTAGAGAAAAGATATTTGTGTCTTCGAAGTTTAAAGAAAATTGGTGAAGAATATAGAAGTAAAAGTGATGATATGAGAGTAGTATTAGAACTTTGTGAAAGAGAACGTACTTATGAAGGAAAGAAATTAAGATGATATGGATAAAAATGAGATTGATTTTATATTTATTAATTATTCATTAATATTTGAGGAAGAGAGTTTAAACCAAAAACATTAAATTGGTATCCACCATATAGTAATTAGTGAATATGAGAATATGAGGGAATTAAGTTAGATATTAAATGAGTGAACGATGTTATTTTTCAGGATGTACAAAGTTTAAAAATTATTATTATTATGACAACGTTTGTTTTTTTTTGCATAAATTTACTAGTTATGACAGAACGTTTTGTTTTTATTTTGCAATAATATGTACATTTATTTTGAGCAACTACAACAATATAAATATATCTTTAACAAAATATCATTAAATTAACTATTGGGACTCTACTCTTACTTCTGTGCTAGTTGTTGTACTTTCAATAATAGTATTCTCAGTATAATTGGTTGATTCTTTTTGATTTCCTGAAGTTTCAGAAGTTTCGAGAATATCTTCGATAGATTCTTCTAATATAATAGTATCTCCTATCTGAACATTTTTTAAAGAATTCTTATTAGTTTGATCGAGTATGGAAGATGATGATAATTTATCATCCTTGAGATAAAATCCTCCAAACATAGGAGGTAAAATTCTTTGTTGTTTGTTAATTGGTAATTGGTCTTTAGCTATCAAAAAATGAAAAATTTTTAAATTATTAAATAATCAATTTGAATTTCTCCTTTTTAATTTACAACCTTTTTGTTCCGATCGATGTATGATTGCTTCTATATCGTATGGCTCAATTTTAATCCAACTTTCAAATAATTGTTCCGTAATTTTACTATCTTTATAGCTTATCCAACCGAAATCTTTAACTTTTTTTATATCAGAATCCTAAAAAAAAAAAAAAAATTTAAATAAATTAAAAAAAAAAAACTTTTTTTTTAAAAAAGAAAAGGTAATTAAAAAAAAATGTAAGTGTAAATATAAATTGTAAATACTCTGGCGAATTTGAATTCTAGTATTTCTCCTTTTGATGCAAAAAATGAATAAATCTTTCGAGCTTCTTCAAATGATTGTGGGCTTCTTGTTATTTTAAAAAAAGCTCGAAGAGGAATTCGGTGAGACATTTTTTTTAAAAAAAAAAAACTTTTTTTGTCTACCTTAAATAATTAGGGGTAGAGGTAATTAAAATTAAAATTATAATACCCCGTTAAAAATTTTTTTTTTTTATGAACATCTAAAAATATCACGTGGTAGATAGATAAAAGTGGCTTAGGGTTTAGATTTTATAAAATTTTTTTTCTTTTTTTTGCACATCTCAAAAAAAAATTTTTTAATATAATATAATTTATAATTTATTTTTTTTTTTTTAAAAAAAAAAATGATTTCAAATTTTGTATTATTTTCAACAAAAGTTTTGTTTCGACATTCACTTAAACCTCATACAAATCTTGGTATTTTGAGACTTGGACGAATTCACTCATATAAAAATAATAACAAGCCGAGGTAAATATATATAAGATATATTTTTCTTATATATATATATATATATATTTTTTTGCTGACACTTTCTTGCATTGTAAGTATAGGTAATATATTTAATAATAATTCACGAAAGTTTCATAATAATAGAACATGTTTAAGCTTAGGTAAGTCCAAAAATAAGTATATACATATTTACATTTCTAATTCTTTCTAATTCAATTAATTTCTTTTGAATTGAAAAAAAAAAAAGTTCAAAAAACTCTTAAAGAAGAATTAAAAGAAGAAGATAATAATATAGTATTAGAAAATGAAGAACTTTTTCCTACAACATTATTACAAGAAGAAACTTTAAAATTAGAACAAACATTAATGATACCAAAAGGAGTATCAAAAGAATTTTATGATCATTATATGGAAATTTTTAACAAAACTTTACCAACAACACCATTACATGAATTTCCAAGACGTGGAAGATTAAATAATTTAATTTATCATATTAAAACACGTGAAGAGGCTTTATTACTACTGAAAGTAATTCCTCAATGGCGTAAAAAATTATTACCTATAACATCAGTAACAACTCGTTTATTAATTATAAAATGTTGTGAATTTAATGCAGTAGATGTTGTATTTAATATGTTAATTGATAGAATGAAATATGCATTATTACCTAATAGAGAAGGATTTAGATTAATTATGTTGACTTTTGCTAATAAAATTATTGATCCAACATCAGAGGATGAAATTCATTCAGATAATAAGCAAGAAATATTAGATAATCTTTATAAAACTTTTGGATTAATGGAATATTATGATGTTTCTCAATATGATGCTTATATTTATACTATTTTAATATCAACTTCTTTAAAATTAAATAATTTGGATAGAGTTGATATAACAACTTCAGAATTCTTGGAAAATTTTGATAAGATGATTTTAGAAATAAGTCCAATTTCTTTTAATGAGAAAGAAGAAAATGAATTAAAAATACGTAATGATAAATTCTTTGAATATAATATTGAATCAAGAATAAGTAGATTAAAATCTTGTATTGAGATGGTTAATATATTGGATAAATGGTATACTGAAACAAAACAAGATACGAAAAAGGCCGAAAGTTTTAGAAATTTAAAAGAAAATTGGGATAATGAAATAAAGAAATTACAAAATTCTTCGTCTTAATTCAGTATTACTTGTCATGGGGAGAGCGTGTATATAAGCTATTACGCGTTATATACGCGTTATTGGAAAGCGCGTATAAAAAGTAGTTTACGTTTAGCTTAACTCTAATATTTAACTATCTTGTATATTATTTCTTTTATAATAAAAAAAAAAACTAATGATTTGCAATAATATTTTTATTATTTAATGTGTAATAACAATATATATATAATATAATTATGTACAGATTTGAAACAACGCGAAAAAAAAATTATAATACAAATAATAAAAAATTGTTCAAAATATAACGAAACTAAAAATATCTAATTATACATTGAAATAACGTGAATTATTTAATAACAACCAGTGTAATTTATTAAGGGAACAAATTTAGGAATTTCTATATTCATTCATTTTTTTTGTTCCTCATCAAGAGAGTTAAAAATCTAAATTCTTATAATTAATTCCTATACTATTCCCCACATATTATTACCTAATCCAATAACATCACCACCATAACCAATGTTTAGAAAAAATTTGATATCTAATAATCCACATGGATTCGGTAATGGTTTCATGACTTGATGATTTTGATTTTTTGGAACATAAATTTCTTCTTTCAAGATATCCAAATTTACACGAGCCCTTTTATATTGTTCAAGATGATCTCGATGTTCAATATATATGTTAATTGGAGAAATGAGATGTTCTTCTCTTTCAATAGCTTTTGCTCTAGTTAAACTTTTCTTTCTTGGAGGTTTTTTTACTATTGGATCTTTTATAGATTGAACAATTTTGATATCACGAGGAGGCGATATTGAAGTTTTATAAGAAGGTTCAACCTTATTTGGACCCAATAGATTCCAACCAACATCTTTCAAGTAACCCACACTATTGGATAAATATATAAGTTAAATAAGGGGAAAATAAAAAGAAAAAAAAAGAAAAAAGAAAGAAAACGCAGGATAAAAAAAATCATACAATCCAGATTTTTCTTTATCATCATTACAAGATTTCTTCAAATCTTTATCAATATTACCCTTTGAAACGGTAGAAAAAATTTCAGCAGCTTTACGTACTGATAATATTTCATAATTTTTATCATAATTTTTATCATTAAACAATTTTGTTTCTTGGGTATTAGGGTTATAATTTATCGTTGTGTCCACCATATTAGACAACGTTTCAAAGAAGTATTAAACAGAGTGGGACAACCGAAATCAAATTAAACAATAAGTCTATTCTTGTAAAGAGATTTATCCGTGAAAAGAAGAACGTGTTCGTTTCTTAGTAATTAAAATGATAAAGAGAAGCCACGAAACTAAATCAATTGATGATAAACACAAAAAAAAAAATATATATATGTAATATTGTAAATAATGCTGATTTTCATATTTAGGATCATCTGATAATTTCTCTTTTGGTTTAATGCCGTGTTTCATGAATTAAAATATTTTGTGGCAGTGTAATAAAATGGATAAAATGGCTTAAAAATATTCATTTACTTCGCCTCATTAAAATATGTGCCATTATATATAAAATATGTACAATATATTATGGTAATTTTATAATATCAAATCAAATCTTTTTATTTAATCACTGGTACAAAATCTTCTAACCTAAGAATTATTATTATGATTATTATCTATATGATGTTGTAAACATTGACGACTACAACAAGCAACGCGTTGACATTTAGAACAAACCAATAATTTCCAAATTTCTTCAATATCTTTTGGTTTAAAATTACATTCTACACAAATTGGGGAAATATTTGGAATTTCTTTATCTAATTTTTCTCGTAATAATCTATAATTTGTATGAGACTTTTTGATTAATTTATTCGCGCTTAAAATATTTGTCATCCCAATTTTTTCACATTCTTGATAAATATTCATTGCTTCAATATAATTACATTCTAATTCATAAGTTGAAGCTAAAATGAATAAAATATGAATTCTAATAGCTTTACGTATTTGATTATTTTCATGAGTTTGAAATTTTATAAATTGAGTTTCATTTATAATTGAATCAATTTCTTTTAATAAAGTTAATCCTTCATCCCATAATCTATTATCAATTTCTTTATCAAATTGAAATCGATATAATTCTGTAATATTATCAATCACTTCTAATAATAAATTCATATCCCATAATTTATTATCAATCAAGTTAAATAATTTTAATGACAAAAAATAATATTCTGCTGATGTTTCATAATTTGGTGTCACAGATTTTGTTTCTTGTAATCCATATAAATAGATATATCCTAATCTTGCTGCGGCAAGACCCGATCCAAGATTTGATGCTCTTTTTAAAATAGTTATATAACTTTTATAATCTTTATTTTTTAATTTTTCTTCCGATTCTTCTAAAAGGTTTGGAATTAAAGTTTGTTTTGATAATGTAGAATCAACTTCTCCATTATTATAATTTGGTGCTATTGTGGTTATTCTTTGAGAATTTTTTTCAGTATTTGGGTTCGAATCATAATAATTTGATAATCCGTTCCCCATTTTTGTTTTGTACCATAGGAAAAAAAAAGAAGATTCAGTGTATTTATTTATAAGTAAAAAAAAAAATTTTGTTGTCAAAGTGACGTTACGAGTATTCTGTGCGGCAAAAACAATCACCTTTAAGATCAAAGCGTATTAAAAAAATTTCTCATGATACATTATTATTTTGGTAATCGTGTGATGTGATGTGAGTAAGTATTATACTCAAAAATGTTTAGATTCATATTAATTGATGCAATCGAAACATTGGTTTATTAAATTGATTAAATAAAACAAGTTAATTCAAAAATCTTTTGGGCGTCCAAGTGCCAGAATTTTATACAAGCGTGGTTTAACGGAAACTATGATCACGCCGATGGTGTTATGGTGTAACAATAATATTTTATTAAAGTTTGATCTAAAAAAAAAACTGTAATTATCTGTTTATTATTTTCTTACATGAGTAACAAAATGACACAATTTCCAGAAGTTATAATAATACTTTTGGATGTATCCAAGAATATGTTATGTCTTTCAAATCAATTAGAAACAAAATTTGATAGTTCAAAATCTTTATTATTACATTTTTTATCAAGATATAAATTGAATACATTATCTATTATATCATTTGATTCTATTTGTCATATTTTACAAGATTTTACTGAAGATTATGATTCATTAATTACAAAGTTAAATCAGTAAATATACAAAAAGAATTTTAAAATTTTTTTTTTTAAAGTAATTGATTGTTTATTATTTTTCAATTTTTAGATTGAATCTTCAACCTAATGATTCTAACCGAGAAATGAAGCTGGCATGTGAATATGTTGAAAATTATGTTATTGAAAAATTTGGACCTGATCAAGCATGTCAAATTATTATGTTAACAGATGGTCGTTCTCCACAAAGTAGAAAAATCATCCAATACATATGCATATATATATTATGATTTCTATTTATATTTTTCCAACAACTAATTAAAAATATATATTTAGAACAAGAATCTCAATCAATACAATTTCATAATCCATCATGGAAATTACATATAATATGTTTAGCTGATACAGTAACAAAAAGTGAACATTCTCAAACAACATCACAAATTCTTGAAGAATATAAAAAATTATTAAATCGTCGAATTCCTTTAAGTATAACAAAAAATCATCAAAAAGGTGTTTATACACTTGAAAAAGGTGGTGCATTTTGTTATTTACCTTATCCTCATTTTAAGGACTCAATTTTAAGCATGATGGATATAATTCTTGAAAAATATTGTATCCTTTTTTTTAAAAAAATATTTAAAATAGATTAATAATGAAAAAAATTATTTTTTTTTTCTTTTCTCCTTAACGAATTATTTTCTTTTTAAACAGTTTTACCATGTAAAGGATTACTTTTATGTGGGCAATTACGTTTTCCGATTAAAGTATATCCTGTTCTTCCTGATGTCGAATATAGTAAGCATTATTAATTTTAATTTTTTTTTTTTTTTATAATAATTTCTTTGATATTTTATTGATCGTAAAAATTCCTTTCTAAAGTACATGATATTGTAAGAACTTTGTCCATTGTAGCATTTAAGCCAAGGGAAAAATTACTTGGGGAACCTTCTATTTTTCGATTATGGATGTTCGTAGATGAAGAATATGATGACCAGGTGGATAAACAAGGGACTTTTTTCTTTTCTTGAAATTATCTTTTTCTGACACTCTCTAAGACGTTTGAGTTGGAATGATTTAGGATAAACAAGTACGAAATAATTATGAATATTTTTCCGCGTTATGGAAATGTCTCAGAAAAGAAAATCATGTCGCTATTGTTTGGATGAAAGGAGATAATTATGCTGCAATTGAACCACCTCCAAGTACAGATAATCAAGAGGATCCAAAGGAGAATGATTTATGTAAGTTTTTATATGAGAACGTCCGTACGGGAAAATATATATATATATTATTTTTTCTTAAAAAATTTCAATTTTCTTTAGTCATGTATTTCACTATATATAAATCAGAAAATGGAAAGAATTTATTATCAGAACCATCAACATCAGTAACACCACCACCACCAAAAAGTTATGTCGCTGGACATAATATAGATTTACCAACACCAGAACATATTGAGGTAAACATATTGAGGTATAATGTTAATAATTCATTTTATTTTACAATATATAATAAATAAAAAGTTTTTTGTTTTTTTTTAGAGTCTATTAAATAAGATGTCGCGTTATCTTACGAATTTACCAAATGATGCTGTAAAATTAAAGAATGTGTAAGCGAGTTTAAACTATATCTGAACTCGGATTAACTTGTATGTTAATAACATCTCTTTTCAACATTAAGGGTTGAACAAATGCAAAAAATTATAGAAATTTTCAGTTATAAACCACTCAGAGAACATGTTGTAGATAAATTACATGATGTCAGGTAAATACAAAAAAAAAAAAAAAGGATTAAGTGTAATGAATATTTTATTAAATATAATTTTATTTTAGAATTCAAAGTGTGGAAATTGAGAATAGACAAATATTGGCCGAATGCTTAGTAACATTAGGCGAAGAAACAGTGTCAGAAAATGATGATGATCAGCTAGAAATTATGGATTATGAAGAATTTGAATCTAGAGAAGATGAATATGACGATGATGTAGATGATAATAAACAACCTAGTCCTGCCCCTATCAACCCATTATCTCTTGATAATTTATTAAATTGATGAAAATGAGAAAAGTGAGATGATGTTCAAATAAATTATTTAACGATTACAATTTGTAAATAACAAATAATTATAATAAAATTTTGTAACCTTGTACAATCATGTGATTTATCATACATAAATATAAATGAGTTTCATCGATTTTAAGATTTTCCAATTTTTCAAATCTTTTTGTACATTTTTTTTTCTTCACCATGTTACCAGAAAGTGCGGGAGGATATTTATCGTATTGGATGTTATTTGTATCAATTTTGGCATTATTTAATACAATCCAAAATTTTGTTACACTTTCTTTAACAAAAAGAATTTATTCTGCAAGACCTGATCAAGGTAAATTATATGCACAATTCGGAATTTTTCAATATTCAATTTCCATTTTAGAAGTTAATGTTTTATTTCCGAATTTAATAGTTACAGCATTATCATCAAGAACATTTGCGATATGGACATTATTATCAGCCATTATAAGGATATATGCGGCATATAATATAACCGAAGTAAAGTGAGTATTTTTATCATCAAAATTGATAAATTTGATACCATTAATTTTTTATTATTAAATATTAATTATAAATATATTTTTTTTTTTTAGTATTTATCAAATTGCAATTTGGACATATGTAATTGCATGGTTACATTTTATTTCTGAATTTTTTATTTTTAGAAGTGCAAAAATTAGTGCAGGATGGTTATCTCCTGTTATAGTTTCAAGTAAGTTTAAATATTAATAATAATAATAATTTTTTTTTTTTTAAAAAAAAAAAAAAATTGAAAATCTAAATTTATTTATTTATTTATTTTAGCTTTTTCCTTAATTTGGATGTTATCTCAATATGATTATTATACTCAGCAAAATATTAGAAAATATTAAATTTTTTTTTTAAAAAAAGATAATGACTTGTAATTAACAATATTATTGTTTTTTTTTTTTAATCTTGCAATAATTATTTATTTATTTATACTTAATTAAATTTTACTTAAAATTTAAAAATTTTAAGTTTAAAAAATAAAAAATAAAATCTTTTAATTATTTAAAAAATTTCTTATTTTTTACAGTTTACTTTTACTATAATAAATTTTATGGACTGGAAATTAAAATTCATTATAGTGAAATTATATATAAAAAAAACCTGTATTTGAACTTTTCTTTATTATAGCAAGTTATTCATTATATAAAAATATACTATAGAAAAGATGAACTGTAATAACAAATTTTATTTATTTACAATAAAAATAAAAATTTAAATATTTAATTACAATAATTACTAAATTATAAATACAGTATAGTTATATGATTTATATATTATTTATTTATTATTTTTATTCTATATTATTAGTAAATTAGCTAAGTTAATCCTATTAATATAACAGGTAATAATTATATTTTACTTTTCAATATTTAATTCTACAGAATATATAGGATTCCAAGTAATACTGAAATTAGGTAACAAAAAATAAATATATAGAATAAGCCAAAATAACCATAAAAATCTTTCTTTTTTAGATAATTTTAAATTTTTCAATAATGTTGGTTAGAATTTTATTACTTATTTTAGTAGCTGACTGACATTATCAGTAATTTTTTACTAATTTCTGTAATCTATTTAATGCGGCCCAAAAGTCACGTGACTGAAACTCCTGCTTTTCCCTTCAAAAAAAGTACTTGAAAACGAGTTTCCAACCTGCTTATAATATACATGATGAAAATCATTCCTGTAATTGAATGTAATGCCTCGTGTTATTTTTATATATAATATATATAATTCAACTAATTCACGATGGAAAAGCACTTGAAAAAGTTAGATTATCATGAATATCAGGTGTATCAGGTGGAAGCTGAAAAATTATTCTTCTTCTTTCATTTTTTTAAAAGCAAGTCAAAGCAAGCATTCCTATGCAAACTGTTTAGGAATGCACGCCTCGAAAGTGAAACTATTACTGACTCTATGGTATACTATTTAGTTAATTAGAACACTTCGTTCTGTAAATTCGAAATTTTACAACGCCACCCACTTAACTACCAATGACCATTAAATTGCACATTCAAACCTATTAACAAGTCATACTGAGATTTGTGACGTGTTTGTGTCAGAAGAATCAGTTTTTGCTTATAGCTATAAAGGTCTCAGTCCTGTATATTTTTGATATTTGACAAGTCAAATTGAGAAAATGGTTGAAACTGGTTTTAATTTGCAGAGCCGGATGGAAAGCATGAAGTTAATAGTATTCTTTAGTTTTACAATTAAAAATTCTTAGCGAATGACTCGGATCTTCAATACTCTCTATATTCTTTATATTGAAGCATTCTCACTGCATTACGTCTTTAACGTTACATGTTGCTTTAAAGTGAGGCTGGATAGAGCAAGTTATCGAGTTCAGGTATCATTCTGATTTGTACACCTGACAACAACCTGACATCAAGCAACGAAATGTTGTCTATTTGAACCAGGACACGTTGGGTTACCCGATTAGATTATGTCTCTTATCTGGATAGTGAAATATTAAGTCTATATAAAAATTTTAATAAATAGCTGTAGCTATAAGTTACCTCTAAAGGTTCAATCCGCTTCGTATAATTGATTGTGAATTTGACACATTTTTTTTTATATAAAGGAAAATCATTTCTTCATATAAGAGTGTAAGTAAAAAATTTTAAAAAAGATACTCAAACGTAATTGTGTTCTATTTAAATAATTTATTTATTTTTTAGTTTAATAAGATAAATAGTGTATAAAAATAATTAATTAACTAAATTTTATCTTAAAATTTATGAGAAATGCTCTTACTTATATAACGTCAAGAATAATTGAATAAAATTGTCTTCATAAATCAATCTTCAATTAGATTATTCATTAATTCATGAATACCAAAATCCTAAATCTAATCTTGAAAGCTTAAAAATATAACATAATGATCATTTTCACTTTGATCCTCATCATCATTATTGTCATCGTCGTCATCATGAAATACGTGATTGGAGGGTAAAACCATAATATGATCCATAGCAACATCTTCACCCTCATTATTATTTTCATCATTATTTTCATTATTTTCCTGATTATTCTCATCATCATTCTCGTCAACTCCCTCGATTGAATTACTTGATATGGAAAAAGAAGGTTTAGGAGGTTGTAAAATATACTTAGAAGGATCTAAACCTAATTCTTCAACAAGTTTTAAATTAAATTGATACAATTTTTTACGAAAACAATTATGATCTATAGAAGCAAAAGTAACGTGAATATTCCTCATTTTTAATGACCAATCTGCTGTTGATCTATACGGTGTTAATGGAGGAAATTGATCTACTCTAACTCGACCTTCCTTTGTAAAAGTCCACTTTATTATAATAATGTAAAAAATAATAATTAATGATTAGATGATAAAATCAAATTTTTTGTACTGATTAATTTAAGAAAGGAATTAAAATACAAACCGGTAATTGACCATCCATCACTCCACTGAAAGTATATACACCATTACGATGGAAGTTTGGTGATCCAACATGTGGAATTGGATAACTATTAAACTGTTACAGTAAAAAATTGGTTGAACAAAACTTTAAACAGATATACATTAAAATATTATAATGAATTTCTCAAATAAAAATAAACCCTTTCCTATCTTTTTTATTGAGAAGGATAAAAATAATATAAAATTTCAAAACATTAACCTTAAAACGCCATGTGGTTTCAACCAAATCGTCAGCATTTAATTCACTTCTTCTGGCTTCTTGTTCAACGATACTATAAACTTTTTTCCAAGTCCCAGCTTTTTTAAACCATAGATTATGAGGTTCAGAACATATTTCTGCCATACCCTGTTTACCTTCCCAACGATTTAAAGCTATATGATTCCAAATATGATTGTCCATAGCAAAAGTATTACATCCTTTCGATACTAATGATAGTGAATATAATGTTTTTGTATCTAATTCTTTAAATATTGATATAAAAATTTCTGATGGTAGTCGTTGTGTAAACTCCATTTCTGTTGTTAAATAAACAAAGTTTTCTTTTTAAAAAAAAAAAAAAAAAANAAAAAAAAAAAAAAAAAAAATATTAATTTAATATAAATAATTTTAAATGAGTTCGATTTTTTAAAAAAATCTCGTTTTATATATTTTTTTACCTGCGTGACTAATCTAGTTAAACTCATAAAGGAAAACGGGGAGTTAGAATGTTATCATTATCGTTATTATTGTTATCGGCAAATGTCACGGATATTCCATTTATGAATAATTAAATCATAGTACTTGATAGGGGTAATCCCAAATTAGCCGAAAAAATCTATTTATAGTAAGATTAAATGGCTAAATCTAATTCTGGCAAATGAAGATTTTTCTATCAACGTATTTTTATAGACTAACTGCTAAGGTAAGTTAAAAAAAAAAAATAATATATAAAGTAGAAAAAAAAAAGTTAAATCGAATTTTTTTAATCAAGTAATTCATTTTTTTTATGGTAAAATATTTTTTTTTTCCTGTGAAGGTTCATATAAAAAATAATAAAAGGGATGGTCAAATGGCTAAACTATGTCCGGGGTTGGGTTTAGACTTATTTTGTAATGATATACATACATACACAAAATAAATATAATAAGGTTATTTTTTTCTTTATTTTTGTTGATTTATAATTCTTTTTGGAAGGGGCTTTGAAGAATTTACTTCCGGAATTAACATTACAAAAATAGTGACATCATTCATTTTCAGTGATAATTTCACACGATGCTGCGGAGTGGGTTGAAGATTTTATCCAAGAAAAGTGTAAATTATATGTGGACGAATAAAAAAAGAATGATATTCCAGGTAACGGGTAACCTAAATTTATTCCGATGATGTAGATTATCTGTAATCAAAAAAATCTATATAAGAGACTAATTCTTCGAGTTCTTTAACAAATTTTCTCCTTTTTAAGACTGTTTGCAACAATATGAAAGTTATACCTATTCCAGGTATTTTGTTTTGTTGTTGTTGTTCGCAAGTTCGATACTAAATTATTTATTTAATTTATTAAATTGAATTAATTAGTTCTACAAGATAATTACTCTTATCTTGTTATTGACGAAAAGACAAATGAAGGTTAATAATATTATAATAATTGGATAACATAGAATCAATTAATATCAATTAATTTATAATATTGAATAAATTATTTTGTCCTTGAAATTACAAATAAATAGCTGCAGTCGTTGACCCAGCAGAACCTGAAAAAGTTCTTGAGGTTGTAAAAAATCAAGGGGTTAATCTTAAACATCTGATCACAACTCATCATCATGTTGTAAGGATCATACTTTTTATAATTTTAAATATAAATATATTATTTATTTTAACAATTTTATCTATAAAAGGATCATTCTGGCGGAAATACTAAATTAGTAGATGAAAAACCAGATTTAATTGTTTATGGAGGAGATGATCGTATCCCATCTGTTAACAAGATTGTTAAAGATAATGAAGAATTTAAGATTGGTCAAATTGATGTCAAAGCTTTATTCACAATTTGTCATACTAGTGGTAGTGTTAGCTTTTATTTACAAGATGAAAATGACAAAGCTGTTTTCACTGGTAATGTGTACTTTTCTTTCTTTTTAGTTTCATATTTTTATTTTATTTTATTTTATTTTTTTTAAAAAAAAAATTCATTCAAAATTTTATGTAGGTGACACCCTTTTTATTGGAGGATGTGGTAGATTTTTTGAGGGTACAGCAGAACAAATGCATAATTCATTAAACAATATTTTAGCTAAATTACCTAAAGATACAAAAGTTTATTGTGGTCATGAATATACTAAGAGTAATTTGAAATTTGCGGCTTCTGTTGAACCTGATAATGAGTTCCTTAAACAAAAAATTCAATGGGCAAATGAAAATGAACGAACTGTTCCAAGTACTATTGGTGATGAATTAGAATTCAATCCTTTCATGAGAGTTGATAAAGAATCTATTAAAAAAGCTACTAGTAAACAAAGTCCTGTCGAAGTTATGGCTGCTTTGAGAGAATTGAAAAATAAATTTTAATGTAAGAAAGAGTAAGATTTAGCTATTTATTTTTATTTTATTTTAAAAAAAAAAACACTTTCTTGTTTATTTTCTTATCATTTGTTAAAAATTCAAAAAATAAAATACAAGAAAAAATTATATTAACAATATTAAATTTTTGTTGAACCAATTTTCAAAATTATAATATACAATTAATTACATGCTAAATGAGGAAAATAAATACCAATATAAAAATAATATAAAAAAATATTCAAAATATAATACGAGTATTATAATAAAAATAATAAATAAAACATCTGAATTGAAGATGATAATTGTATGAATTCTCGTGACGCCTCTGTGCCAATCTTGCCATGACATTAAATAAATCTTTGATTTTATATATATATCTTCAGTGGCTTCATTTTTCCACGTTTCTGCAATCTTTCTATTGCTTTTAATCCAACAAACTCGGTTCTTGCAGACTTATCTTTGATATATTATAAAAGAATTTTGAGGACGCAGAGAATTTCGATCTTGTATGCGCATAATTCGTCTCGTTCTAGATGAGGAATTCGAAAGTGTATCAATATTCAGGTTAAAGCTATAATCTGTCGAATTGACAATTTCTTCGTCTGTTCTTAGTTGAGACATGATCAAATTTAAAAATAATATTTTTTTTTTTTTAAAAAAAAAAATATGGTAATGTGGTAAAAACACGTTAATAAGATAAAGACATATATTTATAACTTTTGAATAAGTAGGAGCGCAGCAATTTTCCGCAGACAGTTGCTTTTGTTTTTTGCTTTTTGTTGGGTTTATCAGATATATTAGGAATTTGATATGTTAATCTTTGATCAGCAAAATCAAAGATTTCTCGAAATTTTTTATTCATTTCGAAATGTACACACATACATTTATATTTTTATTTGTTTTACGAAAAACAAAACAAAATGAGAAGGAAGTCGAATGATGATTAATCCTATCACCAATCAGATGATGAACGCAATTGTATCTATCGTTCTTGACCTGTGCAATGGGTCTGACTTGATCTGTATAATACATTTTACAATAAGGAAGAGTCAAATTGATACTTCTGCATGATGAAACAGTTGCCGGAAGACGATGGTGACGTGAGACTCTGTCAATTATGTAAATCAAAACTATATAATTATGGTATCAAATAAAAATTTATTATCAAAGATTTTTTTCTAACCAATGTAAAATAACAAATATCAGTTCTATTAGTTCTATTTATTTTTTGTCTAGTATGCAATTAAAAGGATCTGACGCAACCTCAGTTTTCTTGTTACTTCCTTGATAGTATTATTACAAGAAACATTCCCAGTAAACAGTTTTTGTATAAATTTGTACCAAATGGGCTCATCCATATATAATTGGCTCTAGATTGGCTTAAATTTGGATTATTTTTTGCATAAATTTGAGCTAATTTCGAGCCAATAAGCCCGTTTGGATAAATTTATATTTACTGGGATTGTGTCATTCTCCCAAGCTTGATATTTTATTTGTTTATATGTAAACTCCATGATGTTTGGCTAAATTTTGGTGTCTGGCCTAATTCTAAATTATTTCAAGTCTAAAATCTTTTTAAAATCAACTTTAATTCCGGAATAATAAAGTTACGTTGCTAAATTTGAAATATTTTGCCAACAAATGAAAAACACCTTTCTTTATTTGTACTTTCTTTTTTGTATAAAAGAAATTTTTATGACATTAATTTGAAATTTGAATAGTGATATAAAAATAACAAATGTAACTTTGTCAGAAATGAAATGTGTTTGAGAATAGATGCAAATAAAAAATGAGAAAGTTTATTCTAGACATCTAAAAATGTGTGAACTATTCTTTTAATATTGTGGTCTAATATAAAGAGTGATGATTTATTAGGTATCTACTATAATTTAAAAAATTGTTGATTAATAGTTTAATCAAACATCCTGATATACTGTAGTCTGATTTACATGGACTTATTGGTCCTAATACATGGACGGACCAGACTCAGTCAAAGACCGATACCTTGGACTGAGTCTAAACTGAGTTCGATTATTATATTAATTTAATAAAAAACTAATTATTTTAAATGTTGATTATATATATTAATATATTATTATTGTAATATAGTTAAGCCACATTAATTTTTTTCACACACAAACTATTAATTTTTTATCAAAAATTATTTTTGAACACAATAAGGCACAAGCTGTTTCTGGAAGCATCTTATTCCTTGTACAGGTTATAGTATTACTTGCTACAGAGAAAACTTGTTCGCATGGTACACTGTAGCTTGGATAGACAAATAATCTCGTGCCATTGCTCCAAATGCTGGAAATTCTCAAAAATGTGCCTTTCACCATAGTAAAGGTTCAACATTATCATCACATGGTAAAGCAAAGATACCGATTAAGTTTCTTATAAATTTCAGATGATCTTGATCTCCTTACTGATCTTTCTGTTTGTGAATCTGAAATAGCCAACCGTTTTCTCTTCAACTGATGAAAATATTCACAGTTGCTTACTGTTTCTTGATTAGTGTTGAGTAATGATGTTAGAAGTGGTGACACATTATACTCTGCAAAGTGACTTTTTATTGCATTCACTGCATTTGTTGATTCTTCTCCTGTTGCAAACAAAGCAAGTTTAGTATGTGGATCTAAAGTTGTAGCTACTATGGTAGATGAATCCACCACTTCCCAATAATGTTTAATTTTTCAAGGATTGATGATGCCACTTCACTCTGATTAAATCCTTTTTTTCCAATATAATCATCTAGATGCTGTTGAATCCCAAAAAATAAGAACCTAATATCTGAAATAGCAGGATAAGAGAAGGCTAAAAGTAATACAGTTGCCTTTTCTAAAGGCTCAAATATGATTAAGGTATCCTATTTATTTTGTTAAACATTAAATTTTTTTAAAAAACAGATAAGTAAATATTTTAACTTTAATTTTCATCTATCCGTCCTTCTAAATCTGGCATTAAATTTCCAATACTTTGATCTATTGCTAGTAACATTTCAATATTAGGATGCAATATTTTTTGAAACTTTATTATCATATAATATGTGCTGTTCACTGAGTTTCAACATTTAGCTGTGGTTTGTAATATTTAATTTTTTTCATTATTTAACAATCAAATTATTAATAATTTTAATTCCTTGTTGTGCAGCTAAGTTTAAAATATATGCAGAACATCTATAATGATGGAAAGATTGATTGTTAAGTTTATCTGTAAGCTCTGCTATTATTATTTTTCCACAAATTATCATTGCTGATTCATTATCAGTGGTTAAAACTAATGTTTTTTTAAGAATTTGAAATTCTCTTAAAATTGAAATAATTGCATCAGCAATGTTTGTTCCTGACGTGTAGTAAAAGACATAATATCTAACAAAAAATTTCACAAATTCCAATTATTATCAATAAAATGAATTGTTAATCCAAGATATGCATCATTATTGAAATTGATGTCCATATATCTGCTATGAGAGATATCTTTCCCATAATATTATTTAAATCATATTGTTTATTATCACGTTTTGCTTTAAAATAATAATCTATTGCTAAGTTTTTAATTTTATTTTTATCAGAAACTTTGATATTGAGAATCAAAAGTATTAATCATTTGCCTAAAATGCAAATTTTACTGATTAAAAGGGCTGTGCATCTTCAATTATCCATTCTACCACTGCATTATCACATTCACTTTTTTCTTATTCTGGTCAATGATTTGTTAATGTATTTTTAACGTTCTCATCATTATTTTATGTGCAGAAGAAAGATGTTATTTTAAAATTGAGATTTTAATATCCTTTCCAAAAACTTTTTGACATTTACAACTGACTGGTCTTCCTGAATATTGTAACGTTTTATCATTAAAATATTTTTACGCTAATGAAAATCGACGAGATTGAGGTAAATTTTCTTTCTTAAAGTTATTTTTTCTTCCTCACTTATTACAGGATCTTGTGATACGTCTCAATATCAGAAGAAGATTCATATTCATCATAACCAGCATCATTAAATCATTATCTGATATTTTTATTGGAAAGAAAAAATTATGGTAAAAATAAAACAAAGACAGAATAAAACGCATAAAACACGGTTTATTTAATGAAACACAGGAATTTATTAAAACATGATCGATCTACATTGATAAATCATATAATTACTTAGACAATCAAATAACTTTGATTTATATTATTAATTATTATAAAGACTAATTTGGGACCATCCCATTTAGGTCCACTTTCCATTTAAATATTTGCGATTTATCAGTTACATATATGTGTTATTTAATAAAGAAAAGGATGATGAATATGAAGACAATTCATTTGATAAATCCAAATCACGTATAAAAAAGCTTGTACAAAGAACGGGACCAGTCATTTGAGGTCATTTTGGTCACTAGCCAAAAGATCATTGGTATCTGGTCGGCAAATGGTAGGATTTATAGTAAAAGAAGTAAAAAATATTATTTGATTATACCAAAGAGCCTGGAATCCCTTATGACACGCCGTCCATAGGATATTAAAATAAAAATATCATATGTTGCCACCGACATGTTGAGTTTGAATAATATCTATGCTTGGTTTAAAATAAAATTTAGTTACAAAAATTACAAAATATTATTTTCTTACCCAAAAATTATTTTTATTTATTTTAAAATTGAACTTCAAGCTCGAACTGCAGAATTTCCTATTGAAATTCACTTGTATTTATACATTTTAAGAAAAATATTTCTAATACTATCTTTAATCTATGACTCAATTTGAATAATTATGACTCATAGATTGTCATCTTTCCATCTAATCTTTGAGTCACGTTAAACTATTTATAACCAAACTAATAATAACTATACTAAATATAACTAATTTAAATATAAATAACTATAAATAACTAAACTATAAATATAATTTTATCGGCTAATCATTTACCTATCGGTTAATTATTTATCCTTATTCTATTTTATTGTATTTTCGGTTATTACATCCTCTCAATAAAATATTAGAAGCAAAATGTTAATAAAGTATTTGTGCTTGCTCAAATTTTGGCTTTATTTTTTAACAATATGCATGACATCAGAAAATTTAATCTGAAAAAGCTGTAGATGAAGAGTTCAGCTTTCGCCAAATTGTAAGCTAAGAGTCCACAATCAATTAGATTTCAGGTCATGCTGAAATATTATGGCATATTACACCAATTTGATATTGCACTACTTAGGAATGATATAACTAAGGTTGCTTGTCTAAACCTCTTCAAAATCCTACGATTAGTTTTGTCAAAATTTTACTATAGATTTATTATAGTTTCGGCAGAATTTTAGCAGTTTTGGCATTTATAATAAGTTTTGGCAGTTTCGCCTTTCTCCAAAGTTTCGCCAGTTTTTTAATATAACTTTAATATAGTTTCAGCAGAATTTCGCTTTTCGGCAAAACGCCATCTTGCCTAAACCCCTAGATTTCAGCAAGCAACTTTAGATATAACACCAGCTTTTTTATAAGCCTCTGATTCAAAAACTAATTTTTTCGACTCACATATTCATTAATTAAAATTTCAATCCAGTAATCCAGTAAATCCAATTACCATGACGAATTGATCTGATTTTTTAATTCTGGCCAACACTATGATTAGATTGAGCCAGTATGTCTTCAAACTCAAATCAATAATAGATCCTTCTTTCAATTCTTTTAAATCTTTTATATTTTGGCACAGCAAATATAATCTTGCTGTTTTTATAATCACGTCACAATGAAAAAAAATCTCAGAATTAACAAAAAAAAAATTGAAAAAATTTAACAATTGTATTTGTGATGGCTTTTTGGCTAATAATAATTGGATATTGGACAATTAGACAATTGAGAATTTAATCAAACATTATCCAATCAAGTTAATTGTAGCTAATGTTTAATTAATTAAAAAAAATTTTTTATTGATTGATAATTTTGAGTTCAGGGGCCTGTATCATCTTTTGGCCAGAATTAAATATAATTCTATAATGCGGGCCAAAAATGTCTACTGCATATTTATACATATATATTTTATTATAATGATAACAAATTTTGATTTTTTATATAATAAATACTTTAGCTAATAAATTTTCAGGGTTTTTATTCAGTGCAAAAATAAAATCATTTTACTTTTTAATCAAAAATTTTCAAATTTTACAATAAAGATTATTTTAGTATTTTAGTTAAAATCCACCTAAAATTTTGTGCCGCCGGGATCATTAAAAGCGTTGCATCCTGAAAATGTTTAAAAAATAATTTTTTTATAAATTACTGAGAAACGATTAATCGATTCTTAAATCAATAACCGCTCCTTCTTCCGATTCTTTTAAATCTTTTTTCGATCCTTCTTTTGATTCTTTTAAATCTTTTTTTGATCCTTCTTCTGATTCTTTTAAATTTTTTTTTGATCCTTCTTTCAATTCTTTTAAATCTTTTTTCGATCCTTCTTTCAATTCTTTTGAAAAAATTCTTTTAATTATTACTGTAAATTGTCCTGAAGGATTTCTCGAACAAAAGTTTAAAAAACCACAAATATTCGCTTTTTTATTTTTGTTTTCAGTTTCCTTTTCATTTTCAGTTATATAGAAAATCAATCTTCCAACTGCGAGTATAGTCAAAGCTATGTATGTCTTTGTTTGGTAATAGTTATTACTTAGAAACACTGATAACCAAATCATTTGATAAATAAGTTGTATGATAATAGAAACTAAGAACCCTCTTAACATGAAGTAATATACCATGTGATTAAACAATAAAATTGGAGAGACTATTTTTCCGAATAAAGGCATCATGGTATTAGATTTAAAAGAAAATATAATCCATGTAATATTTTGAAACAATATCGCAATTGAGTAGCCTTCCACTAAAAATTGTGCATAATTATTGGACATAATAGTTACATATGAAACAATCGAAAATATAAGAGCAGAACCACCGTAAAATATAGCTACAGAAAAGAGACCCAAAATATATTTTTCCTTGAGGATTTCAATGAAAAACATTGCAGTGAATGGTCCAAATAACAATAAGCCTAAAACGAGAACATCATCCATGAAATAAGCAAATTTGCCTAGGTACGGAGATGGTTTAGGGCCATATATTGTTAAGAATAAAATGGGTAATAGCCCATTAACACAACCATCATAGAAATCCTGGTATGGAGTCCATTGTTCTTGAGTCGAATTATCAGAGGACATCGGTAAACAATTATAATCAGTTCAATATTACCCAGAAAATATGTGGATTATAAAATTGCAAATTTCAGTTATAGTTTTTAATGCAAAATTCTGAAAATTTTATTTTTATTGACGGAATTTATATTTCGAACAAATACAACCAGTCTCGAGGGTACGGGTACATAAAAGGTAAATAGATAAACTGTACTGTACGNTTTTACTTTTTAATCAAAAATTTTCAAATTTTACAATAAAGATTATTTTAGTATTTTAGTTAAAATCCACCTAAAATTTTGTGCCGCCGGGATCATTAAAAGCGTTGCATCCTGAAAATGTTTAAAAAATAATTTTTTTATAAATTACTGAGAAACGATTAATCGATTCTTAAATCAATAACCGCTCCTTCTTCCGATTCTTTTAAATCTTTTTTCGATCCTTCTTTTGATTCTTTTAAATCTTTTTTTGATCCTTCTTCTGATTCTTTTAAATTTTTTTTTGATCCTTCTTTCAATTCTTTTAAATCTTTTTTCGATCCTTCTTTCAATTCTTTTGAAAAAATTCTTTTAATTATTACTGTAAATTGTCCTGAAGGATTTCTCGAACAAAAGTTTAAAAAACCACAAATATTCGCTTTTTTATTTTTGTTTTCAGTTTCCTTTTCATTTTCAGTTATATAGAAAATCAATCTTCCAACTGCGAGTATAGTCAAAGCTATGTATGTCTTTGTTTGGTAATAGTTATTACTTAGAAACACTGATAACCAAATCATTTGATAAATAAGTTGTATGATAATAGAAACTAAGAACCCTCTTAACATGAAGTAATATACCATGTGATTAAACAATAAAATTGGAGAGACTATTTTTCCGAATAAAGGCATCATGGTATTAGATTTAAAAGAAAATATAATCCATGTAATATTTTGAAACAATATCGCAATTGAGTAGCCTTCCACTAAAAATTGTGCATAATTATTGGACATAATAGTTACATATGAAACAATCGAAAATATAAGAGCAGAACCACCGTAAAATATAGCTACAGAAAAGAGACCCAAAATATATTTTTCCTTGAGGATTTCAATGAAAAACATTGCAGTGAATGGTCCAAATAACAATAAGCCTAAAACGAGAACATCATCCATGAAATAAGCAAATTTGCCTAGGTACGGAGATGGTTTAGGGCCATATATTGTTAAGAATAAAATGGGTAATAGCCCATTAACACAACCATCATAGAAATCCTGGTATGGAGTCCATTGTTCTTGAGTCGAATTATCAGAGGACATCGGTAAACAATTATAATCAGTTCAATATTACCCAGAAAATATGTGGATTATAAAATTGCAAATTTCAGTTATAGTTTTTAATGCAAAATTCTGAAAATTTTATTTTTATTGACGGAATTTATATTTCGAACAAATACAACCAGTCTCGAGGGTACGGGTACATAAAAGGTAAATAGATAAACTGTACTGTACGAAAATATTTCAGCCAATCATAACTCATTGTATACTTTTCAAATTTTTTTATTTTATTTATCGTACAATAAAATCTGATTGGTGAGTTATCACTTCGTACAGTACAGTTTATATGTATACTCTACGACGCAAATACTATCTTCTTCTACCATATGCATGTCGATCTTCACCGCATAATATATTTTTACAGTAAGGTGGTAGAAGAAAATAGCACCTACCACGCAAATACTTTCGTAAGCAACCATACCCGATGAGATCTCCAGATTCGTCGGGTGATGGTTTTGTCTATTATGAGTACTGTAATATTTAGAAAATATTATGGATATAGTACCTGACATATACTGTACGTAATAGAAGAAATAATATAAAAGACGTCGGAGCAATTAGGCATTGTTAAATTATTTTTATCAGAGAATCATTGGCTTGCGTAATTACGCACACGATATTATAAATTCATTATTTTTGAGCTACTTTGAAATTTCAAAACAGCATTCATTATTATGCATTTTACTAAAATGAACTGTTTGCACTTCTTTATACAATTCCTCATATTCAACACTTTTCGCGTATGGAATATTCAATCTTTATCATTCATTTAGCAGATGCATATAATAAATGTTTTCTTATTACAGTATTCTATTGGAAATTTTTTTCAGATCGTGCTTACTCTCTTGTATCTATCATTCTTTCAAAAGTGAACTGTTCCAACATTTAAAGTAATCTTATATCAACAATACAATTTTTAATGTCAAAGACAATAAAGAGTAAGTTTCAGTATATAAATAACTATTGTATATATGCAATTTTTTTTTATTTAAAAACTAAATAATAATGATTTTCTTTGTAATACATCATTAAAAAATTTAATATTTTAGAAAGAAATAAATAGTTAAAGATAATTATATTTACGTATACATTTGTTCTCTTTAGTAAAATAATTTACAACAGCCGATAAAATAATAATCAAAAAAATAAAAAAAAATATAAAAGATGTAATTGTATTTAAATATTTGAACGAGGAGAATATTTTTCAGCGTGACGCCAATCTTGCCATGGCATTAAATAAGTCTCTAACTTCGGTGGTTTCATTTCTCCACAAATCTGCAATTCTTTTTGATTTTAATGATGATTTTAATCCAACAAATTCGGATCTCGCAGCCATGTTTCTACGATATAATGTAAATGAGTTTTGAGGACGAGGACGAGGAGTATTACGTAGGTTACTTCGTTGTAGACGTTTGGACCTTCTAGTTATTGTTGAATTACTCAAAAGTGAACTTATGTCTAGAGTAAAATTATAATTTGTCGAATTGACAATTTCTTCGTCTGTTCTTGGTTGGAACATGATCAATAATATTTTTTTTTTATTATAAAAAAAAATGATAAAAAGATGTTAAAGGATGAAGATATATGTTTTTATAACTTTGTATAAGTAAGAGCGCAGCAATCTTCCGCAGAACATTTGCTTTTGTATTTTGCTTTTTGGATGTCAATCAAAAGCGTTATTGTTGGTCATTTTAGAAATGCTTTTTTTTATTTTATTTAGGAATTGATGTGTTTATCAATCACTGCGCATAATAGCAAACTTGATTCCAAACTAGTTAGAATATGTGATAATTGTAACCCTTAAAATAAGAGGGCGCAACAAAAGTGAAAAATGTTATTGTTGTTTGAACGGTTTTTGTTTGTTATATTAGGAATTGATAAGCATGTAGTCACGGCATCGAACTGTCGATCTAAACTTTCATTCTTTTGTATGAAAGACAAAATGAGATGTTAAAGGAGATAAAACAGGTTTGCATGATTAGACTGATTAGTCGTAATACTAATCAATATTAGCCAGATGATATACGGTGATAGTGTGATTCGGTAGTGCACTTCTATCAGAAAGAAATATTGTAAATGCTCATTATTCATGACGTTTATATTCATAAAGTATATATCATACGCATAATAAATTGTACGTAGTACGAATGAAATAAAAAAAAATGAGTTATCGGAACAATTAGATCGATTAGTTAAAAAATTTGACATTGTAAAAGATTATTTTTATCATACAGTCAAACTCCGATATAACGATATGTCGGGATCCATATGAAAATCTTTGAGAATATCATTATATCAAAATGATACCGATATTTATACTGTATGTTCTCTCATATAGTGGGAAAGTAAAATTTTATTGTTATATTAAGTTTTTTAATATATCGGTATATCAAATATCGGTATATCGAGGTCTGATTATACGAGTTTATTTATGTCTGATTTTAAATATCATGATATGATGATTCCTTGAAATTCACTTATAAATAGAACTTAATTTAACTTTCACTTTGGCAAGCTGAAGAGCCACATCATAAGGTACAATATATTCATTATTATGCATTTTGCTTGGTATAAAGAACTATTTGAACTTCATAAACTTTCGCGCTGGAATGTTATATCCTATAAATTTTTGCTTAGATAATAATGGAATATGTGCGAATAGCGTGTTTATGCCTGTCATTCATTATGTGGACACTGGTACCCGCAGTGATTTTAATAATTATAATTATTGCCCATTGTATGAGATCTTCAGTTATATAAGCTTTTAAAATTTTATTTCATATCATAAATGTCACTTGATTGAAGATGAGAATTTTTTTTTTCCAGATCGCACTTACCTTGTTAAGAAATTAGTATATCAAATGTGTTACAGGATTGTGATAAAAAAAATAGTGCTTTTAACAGTATGGTAAATTTTAAAAATTCACAGTCTCTGTTGAATCATTCTTCCCAACTATAAACAGAGAGTGAAATATTCTAAAATCTAAAGTAATCTTATGATGTAAAAAGTTATATAAAATTTTTTAATGTTAAAGATGTTAAAGGAGTATATAAGTAATAAATCTATTGAATTTATTCTTAAAACTAATATTTTAAAATCATAAATTATTTATTTAAATAATAATCTTAATAATCTGTAAATACATCAATTCATTCGCTTAAAAAATCTTAATAAATTGTTAAAGAGACAAGTATTCTTACGTGAACATTTATTATTATCTTATAAAATAATTTTAACAACCAATAAAAAGTAATATAAATATTTAAATAAAAATTATTGAGATTCTTTTTTTTTTCTTTTAGGAGTATAAGAATAGTCGGAATATTTTTCGGAGTGACGTTTTTCTGCTAATCTTGCCATGGCATTAAATAAATCTTTAACTTCAGTGGTTTCATTTTTCCACATCATCCCAATTTTTTTTGAAACTTCTGATGATTTTAATCCAACAAATTCTGATTTCGCAGCCATGTCTCTACGATATAACATAAATGGATTTTGAGGACGAGGAGTATAACATAGGTTTTTTCTTCGTTGTAGACGCATGACTTTTCTTGTTGTCGTTGAATTATTCAAAAGTGTCTCCACGTTCAGAGTAAAATTATAATTTGTTGAATAGACAATTTCTTCGTCAGTTTTTGGATGTGACATGATCAAATTTAAGAATAACAAAAGAATTTTTTTATAAATTATTATAAAATTTATTTGAAAGACACTATCTATAACATTTGTATATTTATAATTTAATGATGCTTTTGTTTAGTTTTTTTGGATCGTAACTATCTTTTGTTAAAGACTGCGCGTTTGTTTGAATGAAAGGATTGAAAGGTACATGACGGAATTTCGGTAAAATCTGGTGGGACTGCATAGATTCATACATAAATATAATTATGGATTGATTTTGTTTTTGCTTTTGGAGTTGTTATTGTTAGTTTTTTTAGAGATGTTGGCGCCTTTTGTTGTTACAATTAACAAATTATTTATCTGCAAATTGCAGAAAACAGTAAGAATTTTCTTAATTAGTAATATAAAATCATCTATCGGGAAGTGCATTACTAAGAGGGGGTGGGAAGTTTATATCTTCGCGTTTTCCATTTTTGTATTAAGGATATGCTATTTAATTTTTAAATTTTTATAATTTAGTATAATTTTCCTTTTATTTCAGTTTATCTTTTACTTTCATAGGAATTGTGATTAAAACAAAAGAAATGCTGCTAGATTTGCTCTTTGACTTTGTCAATGAAATTTTATAGCCGTTTTTAGAATTTTGTATTCTGGTATATGTATTACTGAATTTGTGATTATCAATAATAGTAATCATTTGGTGATTGTTCGATATTGTCATTGTCGTGAAAATAGCAAATAATAATAAATATACTATAAATGTACTGTAAATACATTTTTTTTTTATTTGTTTTTTTTATTTTTGGAAAGATTTATGCGATTCATGATATAATTATGCTTTAAAAACCCCGGCTAGCTACGAAACAGTTTTTTTTTATGCATATGTGGCCATGTGATATAAACAGACAGGCCCAATGCCAATCATTCAATAATTGTAAAGAGAGGAAATTTAAAAAATTTTAGTATTATTGATTTAGAAATTAAATATGAATTTACCGTAAACGGTTGATTAAAAGTATCCTCCTATCCTCCCCTTTTTTAACCAAAAAAAAAAAATTTCCTTTTTCTCCTGGTTTTCATTATTTAAATATTATAATTTTGCCTAGGTATTACACGTAAATATTTTTCTGATTATTATACAAGTTTTAAATGTATTTTATTTATAACAAAAAATCGAGTAATATACATGGTAGTACAAGGTTAACCCCCTGGAATTTGTATTATACTCGTCTTTTATGGTAATTATAATTTTTAACATTTAAATTGACGAATTGATTATTGAATTGAATTGTATTTGGACGCGTGGAAATTCAGTGGAGAAAATATATATATATTTTTTTCTTTTTAATTGTTTAATTTAACGAGACGTTTATTAACGTTTCGGTTTTTTCTTTTTTTTAGACGGATATATGATATCGGTGAAGTCTATATGAGGATTAAAAGTACTAGGAATATTGGAGGTGAAGGTCATTGTTCAGAGATTAGTTGCTGATCAGAATGTTGTCGATTCGTTGAGAAAGTAGTTGATTAAAAGAAGACAGTTGAGCGGATGAAGGTGGAAAGTAATTGACCGGGGAAGGGTTACTGAAAAGTTGTTCAAAGAAGGAAAAGCGGTCGGATAATTCATCACTCGTTAAAAATTTCATCGGGAAAAGGTTGGTTTTTTACAAAGAGAAATGATGATTGGACTATCTAACATTAACACCACATTTGGTTAATTGACTGAACATGAAATATATCGTCAAATTCATTACGAACTGAAGCGTCTTTCTTTGCTGATAAACTGCAAAGACTATATAATATACCAATGAATTCACCGTTTTACGATTATGTTTACTACCAGGATGTTCGACACTTACATTGACAATACATATAATTAACTGAATGTTAAATTTCGATATTTATTATTTAGGTTGTTAAATGTCGATATTTATCATTCTGGTTAAAATTCTGATAATTTACTCGAAGAGTCCGATATAAAAAAATTTCCTATCCCATTAAATTTGGGTGCCAACCTATTCTTTGTAATGTTCCAAACCAATTTTTTCATAACCAATATTTCGGAACGGTATCTGAAATCTGGTAAACGTATACCAAATGAGAAAATGCTATATTGATTGATAAATCAAGTGATACTCAAATACAATACAAAAGATATTTTATAAAAATTAATATGAAGTAAGTTCATACAACCAGTATATGTGGGCGTAATTATTTCAGATAATACGGCATTAAGGTGTGAAATATATTACACCAAATTTTTACACTACAACCGAAAAAAAATACTAGGTTTCCTTCTAAAAATGAAAAACAAACAATGGAAATCCAACCATTCCTTTTGGAATATGTTGTAGTTGATGAATCAAAGATCATGTCTTCGATCAAGCAACTTGTTTTTAGCTTTTTTCACCCATAATTTGTTATATTGATGGAGCTAGAATGCTGAAATTATCTTTCCGGAAATAGAACGAAGGAAATTTCCTATCTTTGATTAACTTCTTTGTAAATAACCGATGATTGTAAACTGACAAAATCGTAAGTTCTACTAAAAAGATATTAATTGAAATTCACCATTACCATTATTATATATAGAAATTCCGTCAGATTTAGTATCAATATTAACTCCATAGAATTTTGTTGTCAGCAGCATTCATTGCGGCGGATCCCTGCTACGCCTCGGGAATTAAAATTGACTTACAGAAACATCAGTTAAGTTGTTTTCCTAAAAAATGTCAAATAATGACGCACCTTTAACACTGGAAAAAATTGGTTAGATAACGGAAAATTGGTTAGACGCAAGATTTGGGGTACAAAAAAATTTTTTAGAGCTCATTTTTGACTGTCCACTAATAAATTTGGGACTTAAATAGAAATTTGGTGACTAAAAGACTGTCAAATATTTATTTAATTTGACATGACGGACAAATTTTGAGGTATTTCATAAATCCGCCAGCTTAGGACGTAAATAAGTTCTTATAGAACATTGTTCATTTATCTGAGTCATTTTTCGTTTAATCTGACTCAACATAGACATTAGGATTAATAAAATATGTTCAATTTGTGTTTTCTACTTTTTTTTTTTTGTTTATCACGAAGTTCCATTCGACATAATCTCGTTTGTCAAAGAAAATTAGTCATATTAAAAGAGGCTTTTCTAGAAGCCTTGCTTGAAGTTTTATTAATAACTGATTTACGAGTGATTTACGAATTTCTTAGCTTTTACGGTATATTTCTCTTCGTCTGGAGAATAGTCAGAATCTAATGTTGATATATTTGAAGGGTCGAAAGGTTTGTTGACGCGCACCAAAAAAAAAAAATTAATACAAATTAAAATAACAAACCTTTAATAGCATTTTTTGATTCAGGTATATCGTTAAAACTATGCATTTTATTATTAATATACAGCATGTATGTCTTCCCTGCTGGTTAATTATAGCAAATCCTTTTGTGCGTGTACGGTAGTGCAGTACAACTCCTTGTCTCCTTTTCGTTCGAATGGGTAAGCAAGATGTGAAATTATGAATATTTCACATTTTGTGACAAAAATTGATGTACAAAATTTTAATTTGCTAAAATTTAGTTAGAATATATAAAATTTGCCCGAAATTATATAAATATTTCAGTTATTATTTACAGTAATTAATTATTCGAATTTTTTCTATATTTATTTTCTCCAGATAAAATTTTTAATATATGAAAATTTGTACTAATTTTTTTGGAAATTATCTACAAATTTTCAATTTTAGAAATTCAATGATATAGTGAATGAATATTACATACATACTACATTTTAGCAAACAAAATTCACATTTGATCATAGTAGTGTAAAACATGGCTATAATCCTTTCCAAATTTGAATCAGCAACTTGTAATCTAAGGGTATCCACACCAGCCGAAATAGTGGTAGTACAACAATCTTCGTAGTATTACAATTAGTCGAACTTTTCATGTCTTTTGTTTACCAATCTTTTTCATGTTTATAACACAATTTATAAAGACGTTGATAATATCTGTAAAAATATCTAAAGACCGAAATCATTCATCAAATTTCCGGAAATATTAAAAGATGATTGGCTAGTTTATATTCGGACAAATCATCACATGATCAAAATGTTTGTTCATAGATGTTCACATGGCCCCGCCCGATTACCTTTATTAAACACATTTTATTACAGTAGTTCTCCCGGTACTCAGATCTCATCATTTCATAGCACTTAATGAAATACAAAAACTTTTCTAATTAGAACCTTATTGACATCATCCCAACAAATATTTTTAAGTTTGTGGGGTTGTATGGGAAAATGAAAACCAAAACATTGTAATATTGCTTATTTTAGTAAATGAATTAAAAATGACCCTTGTATAAATTAAGAAAAAATCAACCTTTTTAAATCTATAAATAAATAAAAGTAATACAATAATTTTTTTTAATCCGCGTCTTCATAATCTGATTTCACAAAAAAATCCCGCGGTTGGATTTTTAGGTAATGTACTCTCTTAAATACTGAAAATCGTGAACTTTTGTAGAAATTATTCATTACGAATAAATTAAAAAAAAAAGTCAAGTAATTTTATAAATGAAATATTCAAAGAATGAGAATTGTTTAAAAAACAAAAATAACCGGTTTCTTCTTTTTTCAAGTACCGTTGGCCACTGCATAAAGTACCCCCCAAAAATAATACCCCCCGTGATTAAGACCCGGGTATTATTCACCACCCTTTGTGATCTGTCCATGTATAGTACCCGGGTACTTTTCAAAGTCAAATGTTGTTAAAATTGATTAAGACCCGGGTACTATATCAATTATATCAATGATTTGTAAAATAAGGAAAGTTGTAATGTTTGCTTTAATACTATAAGGAGTTAAAATGCTCTCGTGATACACCTTAGTTTAGTTAACGTTAGTTACACGATCCCTTAAAAATAGCTACTCATGTTCTGTACGGTAACATCGGATCTCTTTATATAAATGCAAAAATCGTGTTTTGTAATTTTTTTATCTTTATTTCAAAAATAATTTTTTGTTACAACTTTATACACGGGTATATTGAAATACAAGTACTTCTAAAGTTTATTTGTTTTATCTGATATTTCCTTCAACTAGTCCCAAATGTTTACATAATTTCCCTCTTCATTATCATAATATCCACTTTCTGAATTATTTTCACTTTCCTCACCACTTTCCTCACCACTTTCTTCACCGCTTTTTTCACCACTTTCTTTACCACTTTCTTCACCACTTTCCTCACCACTTTCTTCACCGCTTTTTTCACCACTTTCTTTACCACTTTCTTCACCACTTTCTTCACTACTTTCTCCACCACTTTCTTCATCACTTTCATCATTTTCTCCCTCTTCTTCGTCAATTTTGATTACTTGTGCACCTTTTTTACCTGATACTCTCTCAAAATCAAAAATATATTTGTCTTCAGAACCATCTACCTCCGTGGAGATTCCACAGCACTTGAAGGACCGTCGTATCATTATAGGATCAATATTATCCCATGCTTCTTTAACCCAGGATGCTACTAATGAGTATGATGGACGTTTAATCTTGCCTGAAGGTGTGTATTCTTTTATAGCCTCGTCCATCCATTTGTTATAAACATGACGAACCTATAAAAATAAAATAAAAAAAATTTATTAATATTCGCAGATAATATTTATTTTAAATTCATAATATCTAACAACCTTTGCTTTAAATGCTTTATTCAAGGACACATCTAATGGTTGTAAACGTGAGGTTAAACCACCCGGAATTACAGCCATATCTGTATTTTTCTCTTTAAAACGACGTTTTACAGGATCTGTCCTATGAGCAGTAAATGAATCAAGAACGAGAAGTGAACGTGGATTTGAACCTAAATTAGCCCTTCGTCGCCACACATTTTCCACCCACCAAATCATTTCTTTCTCATCCATCCAGCCAGTTGGATTTGCATGAACATATATACCATCTGGAAACTGCTCTCGTGGTACTTTAACTAACTTAAAAATGATTAGTGGAGGAAGCTTAGTGCCATCTGCAAGGCAAGCAAGGGTTACTGTAAAATGGGTACGTTCATGGCCTGTTGTAAGGATTGAGACTGTTCGTTTTCCACGTTCTTCAATGGTTGTTTGACTTGGCAAATTGAATGCCATAGGGGTTTCATCCATGTTGCCAATCAAATTTAAAGGATAGTTATGCTCAGTTCGTAGATAAAGAAGGTATGATAAAAAATTTTGTTGTTGTTCGTTATATTCCTCAGGTAATCTTTGTGCAACTGTAGTGCGTCGGCGGTTTACCAACGAATGACGGGACATAAATCCATCCACCCACTTATGTGAAAATTGACATTTATGAATATCAGGATACTGGGAACGGTATTCTTGTTTATGAGCCAAACTTCGAGCTTTTGCACCAATCATATATCTGGTTACAGTTTTTAATTGTCTTCTTAGGTCACGAACCCACTCCAAAAGTTCCTCTTCAAGTTGTGGATATTTTGGTCGTGCACCAATATTAAGTTTTTGAACATATGGAGCCGCACACATCAAGTTAGTTTTTTTATTTTTCCAGTCGCGAACCTGTTTTGGTTCAATCCCATACTTATTTGCAGTTGCCCGAATACTATGTCCATTTTCATGATAGAACACAACCATCAACTTTTCGCGAGCATTCCATTGTCGACGCTTTTTTTGTGTATTTATTGCTCGTCGTGCACCAAAATTTCCCTTTGGCATTTTTAGGATACTATATAAGAGACTAAAAGTAAATGATATTTCAAAAATTTCGCGTTTTTTTTCAAGGTTCGAAGTAGGTAAATAGGGGGTAATAGGATCTGCTTTATCAAGGAGGGTATCATGAACATCACGGATGATAACTCAAAAAAGAAGTATTGACATCTACTCTGGAAAATTTTCTCGTTTCTTATAGCCAATTTCTAAATTTTTGATTTTGACGAAATGCCATATTTGTTTCAAAAAAATTTTATTTTTATATTTTTTAGAAATAAATATATGTTCAGAACAACGAAATAGATGAAATAAATTTTATTAATCGTTTGATTTGATTGATTTATTTATATTACAAAATTTGTGATCACAATACCGCAGTATAACGT